AGCTAACCTAGACTCTTTAGTAGCTATCCTTTAGTACTAGCTCCGCTAGTATACCGCCGGCCGGGACGGATACCTCGAAGAATAGCTATCGGGCGGGGCTAAAGACGGAGAATATAGTAACTAAATACGCCGATAGAGTAATAACGTCCGCCTTAGGCGCGCCGTAAGCCGTCTAGAGATAGCCCGCTATCGTAGTCTAGCTAGGGTAGACGTACTAGTAGCTACCTAGACTATACGTATAGCGATAGCCCGTCTTAACTTCTAGTAACGGGTAGTATCTAAAGATATAGATAAAGCGAATATAGTCTTAGTCTTCGTAGCTTATCGCGTAATTCTAAATACGTTACGAGACTAAGGACGGCTTAGTCGGAAGTTCTAGATCGTACTAGAATCGAAGATATTAATAGATAGATTTCTACGGCGCGTTAATTCCCCGCTTATACGTCTTATAAATAAGAAGCTATCGGTTCTTATTAAATCGTAGTATTAGATAGTTAATCTCTAGCGCGGTTAGGTATATATCGTCGATATTACTACGGTCGGATATAGCTACGTAGTAGATAAGAGGTAATTAAAACGGTAATAGAAAAGAAGAGAGAGAGAAAGTAAATAAGTAAGTAAGAGAAGAAGTTAGAGTAGATACGAGAGAGAATTAGAGTACTAGAAAATTAGAGAAAGAAAACGGCGAAGGCTTTAATAATAGTAAGAAAATATCGGCGCGGAAGCCCTATCTTATTATATACGGAAGAAGCTAGGCGTTTTCTACTCTATTTCGTACGTAGCTTTCCTCGTAGTCGCCTTATAACTAGTAGCGTATAAAGCTACTATTAGATATTATAGCGCGATCTATTAATTAATAGAACTAGTCTTAACTAGATTACGATTACGATCTATTAATTAATAAAGCCCGCTCTATTACCCCGGTAAAATATTCTATTAAAACCGATAGGTCTATATAGCTAAAAGTTTAGATATTCTAACTAGCCTACTACTTTAATTCTAATTAACTAGTAGTTAAATATAAGGGGTATAGGGCTATTAATAACGGCGCCTCTACGTTATAGACCTAGAGCTTCTAATTTCTATAGTCTTATTAATTCTTTCTTCTTTCTCGATTTTTTCTCTCTTTTTCTTATCTTCTTTATACCTCTATTTCTCTATCTCTTACTACCGCTTTTCGATCTCCTTATTCTTTATTCCGTACTATAGGTAGTAGGTAGTTTATAGTATAGTCGGCTACTTAATATTACCGTAGAAATAGCCTAGGCGTTACTTCTTATTCGTTATTACCTTATCGATCTTATAGACTATTAAGCCGTTTCTATATTCGGGTTTACGTCGTAAAAGTTAGCATATTAAATTAAGAAGGAAAGGATATAGAAGAAAATTAGATAGTAGGCTAGAACTACTATACGTACGAAGGTTTTATCGCTATATAGGTTTAGTTAGTTAGTATACTAAGTATTATCTTAAGAATACTATTTTTAAATTCGATCTTATATAGCTAGGCGATTATACGGCTAAGACCCGCCCTTAAGCGATACTTCCTTTCGCTTCTATCTAGGCGTGCGACGATATATTCCCTAAGCGTAGGCCGCTAGTTTATAAGAAGGTTCGTAACGCTATTATAGTAAATAGCCGAGATATATTAATAGTAGCGTCTAATCTCGTCCGCGAGGAGATATAGGCTCTATTAAAAGTAGGCTAGATAGTCGGCCTATCTCTAGTAATTGGCGATAGCGGCTCTTACCGCTTATATTTACACTATATACTCGTCGTATAATAGCTAGAGGTATACGTCGCCTCTAATATAGTAGATATAGTAGGACGTACTTCTTTCCTCGTATAGCCCGTTATATACGAGCTCGCCGGGCGATAGATACTCGCTATAGCCGATACTAGACTAGAAGTAAGTATACGGTACTCGCGAACCGGGGTCGTTATTAAAAAGACGGTTTCCGGGGTCGGTATAACGAAAGTACTTAACGCGGAAGAGCGGTAACTTTATAAAATCTTCTAAGAGATAGTTTACGTATTAATATAGCCTAAGTTAGGCCTTCTTCTTATTCTTTAGATTAGGGATATCGCGATTAGCGTACTACTAAATTATCTTTAGCTAACTTTAGGATAAGAATATACCGATAGACGCGGGTATAGATATTACTTCGTAATAATCTTTATAGCCGATAATCTTAATATTAAGTAGCTTAAGGGCGAAGTAGCGCTCTTTAGAAATAACGCGGATATTAATATAGACGTTTAACCGTCTATATTTACCGTAGAAGAATCGGCTATAAATCCTACTACGATAGTAGTAGTATATATAGGCTATCTATCTAGGCGGATAGTAAGTTTTATTAAATTATATAGTCTCGTAACCCCCTTTTTACTCGAAGACGTAGTAGGCGTAGTTTCTAAGGCGTCTATTCGCTAGTAGAAAGTTACGAACGGGCTTACTATCGAAATCGAAATCGGAAGATAGAGGGTAACTACTATAGCCGTTAGAGAAAAGAAGAGACTCTATAAATATAAACGCCTACTAAGAGTAACGATCTACTTAAATACGTATATCGTTTCGGCTAACGTATAGATTATATTAATCTAAATCGAGCCCTTCGTGCGTTTAAAGCGGTAACGACGAGAGTTTATTAGTAGTATTAGATACGTTAGAATTTACGCCGCTTAGATCGACGTCTATATCGTTAGCGAATAGACTAATTTTTATAGGCGATAGTAGGCTCTACGTTAATATTTTTAATACTAGCGACGGCGATTAGCGTTAAGAGTATAGATATATACTAGATAAAAACCTATATAAAAAGCGAATAAGTCGAACCTCTAGCTCGTAATAATAGTAATAGGCGCGGGTAGTACTATTTAAAAGTAGAAAAGAAGAAAGATTAGAAGAAGCGAGTTCTATTAATTAATAGATATTAGAGGGGGGGTAAGAGAACGGGTAGATTTAAGAAAGATAATAAGAAAGAAAGTTAACGCGGCGAAAGAATACTAGAACGTAGGTTTTATTAGAAAAGTAGAAAGAAGTAGTAGTATAAGAGAGTAGGTTTTATTTATTAATAAGATAACGGCTTTAGAAAGCTTCTATTCTATTATCTTTCTAATAATACGCTAGCGGCTAGTAATAGAAAAGACGCGGCTTAGCCTAGTAGTCGTATAACGTAAGCGTAGTATAGTAAGATATAGATAATAATATACCGATAACTTTAGAGTCTATTTCTTAGGCGAATAGGGCGGGCTACGGTCGATCGAAGTAGAGTAGGATATAAGATTAATAGTTTTAAATAGCGATAGAAACCGACTAGATATAATACTATATTTAGATAACGAAAGAACTATTATTTTAGTTATACGTAGATCGGCGCCGGCCGGCCTAAATCGCTAACGTATTAATTAATAAAACTTATACCGGAAAGCTATATATATAATAGAATAGAGAAGAGAATAGAGTGGTAATAGGCGCGTCCTCTACGCTAGAGCTAGAGGTAAGAAGAATTCTCTTATATCTAGATTTTATCGTCTTCTAATAAAAGAATTTTTTAGTATTATTCTTTTTAAATCTTATTATTTCTTCGAGAGGGCGGGCTAGGGCCGGCGGCGGAGCCGAGGATAGAAATAGAATCTATTAATTAATAATATCTATACGTATTAACCCGTAATCTTAAGCCCGTTTCGGTAAGCGTATACGCGTCTACGGTAATATATAACTAAGAGAAATTTAGTACGCCCTTAATAGTAAGTAGTATTTAAAAATAGAAAAAATACGGGTATCTAAAAAACGGTTAACCCGTACGGTCGATTCTAAGTTTAGCGGGGATTAGAAATCTAAATACTTATTCTATAGTATTAGGCCTAAATCGCTAACGTATTAATTAATAAAACTTATATTAGAAAGCTATATATATAATAGAATAAAGAAGAGAGTAGAGTAGTAATAAACGCGTTTTCTACGCTAGAGCTAGAGATAAGAAGAGTTCTCTCGTATCTAGATTTTATTATCTTCTAATAAAAGAATTTTTTAGTATCGTTCTTTTTAGATCTTATTATTTCTTTAAGAGGGCGGGCCGGGGCCGGCGGCGAAGCTAAGAATAGAAATAGAATCTATTAATTAATAATATCTATACGTATTAACCCGTAATCTTAAGTCCGTTTCGGTAAGCGTATATACGTCTACGGTAATATATAACCGAGAGAAATTTAGTACGCCCTTAATAGTAAGTAGTATTTAAAAATAGGAAAAATATAAATATCTAAAAAACGATTAACCCGTATAATCGATTCTAAGTTTAGTAGGGATTAGAGATCTAAATATCTATTCTATAGTATTAGCCTTTTAGTTAAATAGTAATAATACGGCGCTAGGCTAGAATATTTATAGTTTAAGATATAGCGTCTTTCTACTCTTTTAAGGGGTTATATAATCGAGATTTATTAGTAGACTATTTTCTTATTCTAGACTAAGCTAATAAATAATTATAAACGAATTCTCGTAGCGTTTAGCTAAATACTATTAACTCTTAGTTTCGCTATATAGAATTCGCTAGGCTAAGAGTCCTTAATTTCGCGCCCGCGATATCGTCCCGCTAAAGTCGGGGATCTAGAAGTAGCGAGTAACTATCTAGTACTATTTTTCCGTCTTTTATAGAGTTCGTAATAAGAGTCCTCTAGAACGCTTCTCTCGTCGAGTTAATATCTCTATATACGCTAGTAATATTTACGCGGCTTAAGAAATACGACTGGTCCGCCTTATTATAGTAAAAGGCGCTTATGCTAGTAATATCATCTACGAAGATTCCCTACACACTTATACGCGTGCCAGTCGGGTCGAATCCTACTCTACTAGTTAGGTCTCCGGAAGCGTAATAATGCCTCGGAAGCCGCAAGACCGGACCTCTTATATACGCCTAGCATGGGACCTAAGACGGCATTTCGTGCAAGCAGCCTCGATTAATGGGCCCCGCGCCTGGTCCAAGTAATCCTGATTTCTATTTCGCCGGTAGCATCCTCGAGAACATCTCGTAAGAGCCCTGCACCTGCCCGATTGGGCTGTAGATGAGACGAAGACCGCTCAGATTACGACCACTCGAGAACATAGCCTGCGTGAACTGGCGGTAGATATCCGTGGTATTTAAGCCGTAATCCGGCGTGATCTGAGAAGAAGCGCCGGCGATGCTCCTCAGGCTAAGAATACCGTAGACCTTATCTTTGTCGTTCGTGGCCTGCGCATCGCGGCTCAGCCCGAGCGTCCGCAGGACATCTGGAGTCTCGATGGGGGCATCACTATGCTGAACCGTCTGCAGCGCCTCGATCTCCAACAGGAACTTCCATAGCCTCTCCGAGTCCAACACGTCGTCGGCGTGGTCCGACAACGGCAAGCGGTTCCCGGTGAAATCCCACTCGAACCCCCCAAACTTCGACCCCCCGGCCTCCAAAACATCCCATCCGAACCGATGCTCATCTGCCTGTATCAGCTCCGCCGCCCGGAATACATCCCCCCACACTACCCCCCTCCCACCGCACAGCACCGGCGAAACCTTCCCCGCCAGCGCCGCCTCCTGCAGTATCCACAGCCGCCGCCAGTACGGCCGCGCGAACAGGTCATACAGCGCGCGGTACACCTCTCGCCGCATCGGACTCACGTGCCGCGCCCACTTGACGAACAACGGCCGCATGTCCACCGCCCGCGTTGAGTGGTAGAAGCCGGCGTCCAGCCCGCATCCGGTCTCTGCCCGCGCGCTGAGCCACTCGATCGCCGTCATCGCGATGTCGCTGCCCGCCGTCGCCGGGCCCAGCCACGCGATGACTTCGCGTGCCGACGCGTAGATGGCACGCATGCGTGTCACTTCTTTTGAGCGCTCGGCGAGGGAGGACTGGTTGATGCAGAGCGCGTCGACCCAAAGACCGGCGGTTTTTTCTTCTTTTGCCTGCTGCCCTTGCTTCTCTTTCTCTTCCTTCTTCCCCTCCTCCTCCTCCTTCTCCCCTTTTTCCTCCTTTCGACGCACGACATCCCGCGGCAGCCGCCCCCTCAGCTCCCGCAGCGCCGCCTCCAAGTTCTTCGTCACCTGCACGACGGCACCGTTGACGACAATGGGAGCGGTTCTGGTCGGGTCCCCCCATACGTACGATAGCGCGGCGTAGTCGCCGTCTTCGACCCGGGCGTTGTCGTCTCCTCCGCGCGCCTCGGCTTTCGAAGTCGCGCTCGCATCTGGCAGCTGCTCATCGTGAGGCACTTTGCTCGGATCCCAGAGACAGTCAGTCGCGGCGGTGCCCGTGATGCGGGGCGACAGTTCGATGGCGTTGACGTTGGGGTTGATGGCGGTGGTGGCTCCGGAGGAGAGGGGTATCCATTGGCCGAGAGATGATGATGACGATGATAATGATGATGCTCTGGACGTTGGTTTCTTCTTGAATGGGATGTGCTTTAGCCTGCAGTGCACCATGCCGTTATGAGTGGAGGTTGTGGTGTCCGTGATGACTATTTGCACCACTCGTATGTCGCTGCCATCCGGACTGAGCGGTTTGTAGTTGATCATTGGACGCGAGAGGATGGCCCGAAGAAAAGGGGTTGGAACAAAATCGTAGTGCTGTGGACACTGATGTGGGAAAGCTTAAAAGACAGGTAAAGTCCAGGGATTTGATTCCTACCCGTGGACGCTGACGTGGCTGTGGCGTTTGATCAAATCCTACGAAACTAATTTAAGAACTTGCTATACAAATCAAGTAATAATTTTTAACGGTTTATTATTTTTCTCTAAGAATAAAATACGCTTAATTAAACGTTATCTCCAACTAAATAAAATATTTTTTTATATAAGACCTTTTACTTTTTATAGCTATCCATCTTCCTATAACCTACGAGTCCCGGCTCGGACTGTACGTCTGGAACACCAAAGATTCCTCTCACTAGGACATTACCAACTCGCCCCACTTCCTATCCTTCCACCTCTACACTTCCGGCAACTCCGGCGTGACCCAGTCCATCGACATCCCGTCCCGCTGCTCAATCTCACGCTCACGTATCGCATCGTCGACGCCGACACCCAGTACTTCCCCTGCCGCCCATACGCACCATCCCGCGACGGGTACCAGTCCGCGATGCTCGGCCGCACCTTCCTGCAGGGCACGCATATGGCCCAAAACTGGGAAACGGGGTGTATCTGGCTTGCATAAGCCTCGGGTCCATCACACGCCGCGCGAGACGTCAAGACCATCAACCCTAGCTCCACCTCGCTTACGAAGCTTCCTATCGAAAAGTCGTGGGATTCGACGCGGGATGGTGTCCTCACACCCTTGGGTGGAAGAGCGGCGGCGGCGGCGTCGGGCACGGCAACTGGCGGATCTGGGACTGGTGGAGGGCTGTCGACGGGTGCGGGGGCTGGGATCAGTGCGGGGGCTGCGCTGGGTGGGTTGGCGCTGCTTCTCGGCCTCGCTGGGGTCATCTTGTAGAGGAGATGCCGTCGTGAACATGCTAGCACCAGGCAAAGTGGTGGCGTAAACGGAGCTCCATCAAAGGCGGCGGAAGGGCCCGGGGCAGGGGGGCTTGGATATCCTCAAATGGCTCCGCATGTGCATCCGCAAGAGTTGCCAGTGCACGAGCGCGCTCCGAATGAGTTGTCGGACCAGATCAAGCCATTTGAATTGCCCGTGCAAAAGCGCTAATAGGCATCGTTTCGTCACTGGCTGGATATCCACCGCACTAGACGCATCAAGACTGCGGCAAGGCCTTGCAACGCCATACAGCGTGAGGACGTCGCACGGATAACAGTGGTGGATGTGACTAGCGGCAGCGGCAGCGGAAGTGACTGGTGGCGTCGCCGCCAGCTCCCCCGATCCAGCACATGCGGGTTGACGTACAAAGCCCCTCGGCTTCGTCGGGTGTCCTAGGCCCTCGTAAGACCCAAAGGCTACGACCAAGATGGCGGGGGCCTACGTCGTCAAAGCCGAAGCCGGCTGCCCGTGTAAGGTTCATCTAGGACATGGACGACGCAGGCGGATGTGCGGAAATGCCGAGCGATGACAGCAATGTGGTTACGTTTGGCGGAGTAGAACATGGAGTGCCAGGCGTCGAGACCTTCCGTTGTATAGGCCAGTACCGGTGAGTCACTGGTTTACCATTGAGCGCGCTGCATCGCCCTGGTCGTTATCGAAACATGACTTTCCACCTTCGTCTTCGCCAGTGTACACTGATTTCGCACTATACCCGGCGGGATTACTCGCGGCCTTACGTCGTGGTTTCCCTCTTTGGCACTGTTTCGGGCGTATCCAGTACCATCATGGCGACGTACAGCTTTGTTGAAATGCCTTGTTAATAGTTCCTGTGGCGTCCTGCATCAGTTATCAAATGGATCGACTTACTCAAGCGTCTCCTACAATTGTCACCTGTTTAGCTCTTCGACCAGAAGAGCAGAGGTGCAGAACAATAGCTTTAGGATTTTAGATGGGTAGTTCGATTGCTGGACGTGATTATTCGCAAAGCCAGTCGGGTCGTCGCGAGTTCGCCCGCCTGGTCTTAAGTCCACTATATTTCTTATCGCAAAGATCGTTTTCCGCGACCATTCGATCGTTAACAAAGTAACCAAATAAGGAAAAAGATAGGTATAAAACACGCCAAGCCGGATGTAGGGTAGTGGCTCATCCGAACGGTTCTGCTTGGCTTCGAAATTGCCGAGTGTAAGGCTGTATCTGCGGGGCGCAGGCCTAAGGGGAATGCGTCTTCCAACTTGGGCGTAGTACGTAATGATCGACGTGCTAAACCGTGTGCTTGTCTCTGGCCTTTGCATCTCTCGCTTATGTGATGTGATACGATAGATGATCGTTGTTTCAATAAGCGCTCCACATTGAACGTTTGGAAATTAGCGTTGTTTCCTAAAGAAACGGGAGCTTCGCGCTCGGATTGCTTTTCTGATTTATATTTGAGTTTTAGCTTCGTGTTATTAGCCGTCTTGAATTTTCGGCTCACGACGTTCAGCCCTTCACAGGCAGCGCTCTAGCCTAATACTTCCATCCTCCTTTCTATCATACGGACAAACCCGACAGAATGGAGCTCAAAGACCTGGCGTTACCGCTGGTGGGCATCGTGTGGTCCTTGATTGGCCTGTCCTGTATCACCTTCGGTCTTCGGGTATACGTGCGGGCATATATGCGGAAAGGGCTTGGGGCTGACGACGGCCTCATGTTGCTTGGCCTGGTATGAGTCCACGTCGAAATTTATCTTTGCCCGGTTTTGGCTTACACGGACCCAGGTCTTATTCGTTCTCAGTGGAATCCTTACCACTCTAGCAGCAGATGCGGGATTGGGGATACATAATTACGGGGCGACGGCGGTGGAAATGCGGGATGCGCTAATGGTCTGTCCGATATCGCCTTCATCTGTCAGTTGCCCGGTCTGACCTAACGCCCCCTTTAGTACTTCACCTTCTGGCAACTCGCCTACACGACTTCGGCCGTGTTTGTCAAAGCCGGAGTGTGTATATCCCTCTGCCGCATCACGACAGTGCCACTCCACAAAAAGATTCTGTGGACGCTCATCGCCGTCTCTGTCGTAGCGAGTACAGTTGCCTGCGTAATCGTCTTCTCCGGATGCCGCCCATTCGAAGCCACGTGGGACAAGACGATTCCCGGAGCAAAGTGTACAGGCGCAGCCAACTCGCTTTCTACAAGCTACATCATCTCGGCAATTACCATCGTCACCGACTGGAGCTGCGCGCTTATGCCGGTCTTTATCGTTTGGGACGTTCAGATGCATTGGAAAGTGAAAGTGTCCGTCTGTCTGGTTTTGGGTCTCGGCGTACTGTAAGATTGATATGTTACCATGGCAGGCATGAGCGACAAACTGATTCGAAAAGGTCGAGCGTGGCCACCTTAGTGCGTCTAAAAGCGATTCCAGCGTACGGAAACAGAGATGACTTTCTTTGTAAGCGATGCCTTGCAGAAATCACACTAAATATAGAACTGACCCAGCACAGATGGAATGGCGGATATCGTGGTATGGTCAGAGACAGAAATAGGCCTTGCAATTATCGCCGGCTCCATTGCTGCGCTGAAGCCGCTCTTGGCCAAAATCGTGCCAAGCTTTGGCAGCAAGGCAGGGTTGAGTTACAGCCACCACTTGAGTGGAACCCTTGGAGAAAGCCACCGATTGGGAGATTGGCCTGGCTGCGGTACGGCTGCCACAGTCGTCGAGAACAACAATTCCTGCCAGGACCAAAAAGACGAGTCGGACAATATCAGTCAAAAGGGGCTCTTGGGGGAAGTGGTGATAAGAGACTGTGGAGCAGCTCGTATTGCCGCCGGATGCCAGACGGATCACGACAACCCGACTACCCCACCTATCGGCGCCTTCGTCCCAGCTCGGACTTGACCAAATGCATGCATGCTCCACACAATTGCTTTTTGGAAGATTGTAAGGCATACCAGCCATCCATTGCCAAGCGCGAAGGCCGTGCAAATAAGTGAGGACTGCGTCCGCCAAGACGTTCCCGAGGACGCACTGGACCGAAATGGCCCGTTGGGAACGAGTCAGTTTCCGTTGTGGGGTTCGGGTAGCGGGTAGTCTACGGTCCGGACAACGGTCTTGTTTCATGTACGACAAAGGCTGACTCGCCTCTTACAGGAGCCATTACAAAAGCTGGTATCGCGACTATACGGAGGCAGCAAAGCCACCAGCATGTCCAGACGCGAGTTCAAAGTAGTCATCGTTGGGGCCAGTATTGCTGGCCTCACGCTGGCAAACCTGTTCCAAAATCTCAACATTGACTTTGTGGTGCTCGAGGCTTACGGGGTTATTGCCCCGCAGGTTGGCGCAAGCATCGGCTTCCACCCAAACGGCCTCCGTATCCTTGACCAGCTGGGATGCTACGAAGACATTCTGAAAATTTCAGCAGCTGCAGACAAGACTACCGTTCGAACGGAAGATGGTCGTGTTTTGCATTCCCACAGTACCTCCAAACACGTCCTACAGAGGTAAAGACCCAGACTCGCACTCAACCCGGCTAAACCACTCATGCTTCTATTGACAGACATGGGTACCCGATCCTGTTCCTGGAGAGGCGAGATGCCGTTCAGATTCTCTACGACCATGTCCGGGACAAGACCAGAATCCGAACCGGCCAGCGCGTCAACCGGGTCGAGCTTCTGGGAGACGGGGTGCGGGCCTACACCACCAACGGAGACGCGTTTGAAGGCAGCATAGTCGTAGGAGCGGATGGAATCCACAGCACGCTTCGCGAGCAAATGTGGGATCTAGCGAACAAGCTCCAACCGGGCCACATTCCGCCAACGGTAGGAGACTGTACGTCAACCACTGCGTCCCCACCGTTCTCCGGCTAACACGCGTAGCCATGCCTTCCGAGTATGGGTGCATCTTTGGCATCTCAAAAACCACCGGCGACATCAAGGCCACCGAGGTGCATCTCACGCACATGAAGGACGCCGTGATAGCCGTCATGTGCGGACAGAAGGATCGGCCCTTCTGGTTCTGCTTTTTCAAGCTCGAAAAGCCACACTATGGCATTCGCTTACCTCGCTATACCACCGAGGATGAACTGCGTATCGTCGAGCAGAACGCAAAAGCACGCATCACGGACCGGGTACAGTTCGCGGACCTGTACGCCAACGTCGAGTTCTCGACCACCACGCCTCTCCCGCACCACGTTTTCGACAATTTCTTCTTCGATAGAATCTGCCTCGTGGGCGACTCTGTGCACAAGGTGAATGTCTTGGTCCGATCCGGCCCGATCTGCGTTGCTGACCTCCATGTAGTTCAACCCCATCTCGGGTCAGGGAGGCAACAGTGCCATTGAAACCGCAACCTGCCTTGCGGATAATCTGTTCGCCGCCCTCGACGCAAGCGAGGAGAACACGCTCGACGCAGCCCAGATTCGGGATGTCTTTGCCGCCACGCAGAGTAGGCGGCGCGCGCGAGCCCAAGCCTTGGTCAAGGCCAGCATTACCGCACAGCGCGTGTCCGCTTGGGAAACCACTGTTCTGAAGTTCCTGGACACGCGCATAGCACCCATGCTCGACACAGAAGCCATTGCCGACCAGATCAGCGAGCCCATCGTCGGTGCTGTAAGCTCACGCTTCTTGCCGCTTCCCACCCCACCGCATTCAATTCCGTACGAAGACGAGCTGCACGACGCGCCTCGTCCGCGAAGGCGGTCGTGGATCGTTGCCACCGCAACGTACATGGGCCTTCTCGCCATTGGCATATACTATCTTGCTTACCTGTCGTCGAAGAACGGGACTCTGGAAAAGGCACTCGGCGAGATCAGGACCAGGATATCCGAAGACGGAGGCTCTTTCACGCTCCTGGATCTCGAAAGCATCCCCGTCGTCGGTCCCGTGTTGGTCGCCTTCGCCACCTACTTCCCCGCGACGGAATTCGGAAACCTCGACCTCCGCTTGCTGACTTTCTATCTGTCCATTTCCGAATTCGTCATCTTCGCCATCTGGACGCTCGAGTCCTGCCGGCCCCGCAATCGAGTGTCGCCACTGAGATTCGCTCTCGTTTTCGGTGCCTTGAGCCATTGCACTGCCGTCTGCTTCATAACCCCGCTCCACGCTCTGCTCGACACAGTCACCACCGCTTCTCCCACCAAGTTCTGGCCGACTTCGACACACGTCCCGCCGGCCGACGCGCGAGCCATCCTCCCCGCCATGACCGTCGGCATGCTAGTCCCAACGCTCTTCGTGTTCGTGGGCCTGCCAAGCCGCCTTGCCAGGCAAGTCGCGATCCTGGTGTGGGCCTTCTTCCCCCTTTACATCCACCTGTCTCAAAAGTGGTTCGCAGCGAGATTTCGCGCAGCTGCCGAGCCCGCCACTCTGACCGCTGGCTCGCCCGTCTCCGTGGCGGCCATACGCCGACTCTTCCACTTCTCGTTCGCCATCAGTGCCTTGGCGCATTTTTATGCCGTCGGCACCTCCTCCTTGGTACTCGGCTCCGTCTCATCCGTTTTTGCCTTCCGGCCCTCGAGCCTTGATTCCCCCCTGTCCGGCAATCACAACATGTATCTGGTGGACTTCTACATCACCATGGCCGCCGCACTGCTCTGGTCGCTGGCTAGCATCCGCGACCTGGAAAGGAATGGCTTGGTGGCACGCATGAACTGGCCCGTTGTGTTGTCTGCAGCTCTTGCTGGGAGTGTTGCACTTGGGCCTGCAGCCGTTGTTTCGGCCATTCTTGCGTGGCGGGAAAGCAAGCTGGCCCAGCCTGTCAAGGCAAAGTTGCTATAGACTCGAATGCAATCCGTTCTCAAGTATAGCCCGTAGCTGTCTTGCCAACACGCCGCGCTTACTCGGACGCACCAACCTCACTCGAGATCTAAGAGGACACGGCATTTTAGGCGGCATCTCGGCAGTTACATGTCAAGTCAGAGTCGATCTCGCTGAGGGAACGGCCATCTCTAATCTATCTTCGTCCGTCTACCTTTGTTATCCCGTACTATCTTCTATAGACCCGAACTTTAATGTCAACCTGTTTGACAAACCAATAATTAATCTCCTTCCATTCTGTGCTCGGGTCAACGAGCTCGACACGAAAAGACCGAAGAAACTGTGCAAGAAACTTCCAGATTTCCACGGTAGCAACCTATCCCACATCGGGAAGTTAGCACTCATACGCGTAGAAAGAGTCTCATGAAACGCACGTTTTTCCCAATGCATTGGCGTGTACCCTGTCCAAATTGGAACATGTGTTTGTCCATTTCTTTTGCCCCGAGGCGGAACCAGCGGTCCGGGTTAAAGTCGTCCGCATCGTCGCCGAAGATTGATTTTACAAAATGGAGTGCAGCTGGATTGACACCAACGCGGTACTGGAGCTGTTAGCATCAAGTGTTCTGGAAAATCTGGCGAGGCAGCTTACTCCAGCCGGAACAAAATAACCACAGAGCTCGCGACCACCCTCGGGGACGTGACGCGGGAAGGTGAGAGCAATGGACGGGAACACACGCATGGCCTCCTTGCAGACTGCAGACAAATAAACCATCTTCGAAGCCTCATTGTACGTCATGATGGGACTGAGCTTGCCCTCGGCTTCATGTTGATCGATTTCAGCCTGCAGCTTCGTGTAGGTGTCGGGATTCTTGCAAAGATGGTACAGCGCAGAACGGATAGCAATGGCAGTGGTGTCGCTGCCGGCGAAGATGGCCGTATACGACTCGGTGTACACATCCGTGATATCGAAGTCTGGCGACTTTTCACGGCTTACTTCCAACAGCTTTTCGAGCATGTCTGGCCGGCCTTTGCCCAATTCGACGCGCTCATCGACCAGCTTCCTCGACACTGCGGTCAAAGAATTAAACACCGATACGCTGTGCCTGAACCTCGCGGAGAACGGTAACATCAGGATCTGCAGCGGCCATAGGACCTTTGGAAGCACTGCCATGCGGATAGCGTGCGGTAGGATGATGTCCACAGCGGCGATGTAGCCTCCGATATCTTTACTCTCGCGTAGGAATCCAAACATGCGGCCGAAGAACAATTCGCCGATAACGTCAAAGGTGTACCTTGGAGAATGTCAGTTGTCTGCATTTGAGTAATCCAAGGAGTAACCCACCAATGCACCCACTCAGATATGTCAAACGCATCCCCTTTGTCAGCCAGTTCTCCCATGCGCTGCATGAACAGCTCGATTACAGAATCCAAGTATCTTTCGTTTTCCAGCACCGTCTTGAAGGCGAATATGTGTTGGATCATCCGGCGGCGAAATGTGTGTTTCTTCTCGTCCAGCTGCGTGAAGCTGTCGGCGTGCGGAGAGAGATTTGGTGCCTGGGTAAGATAGAAATCTGTCTTGGTGAAGCCACCATTGACAGCGTAGATTACTTTCCAAGCTTGGGGATCACACACTGAGCACTCGTTGGGAGCAATCCTCACAATTGGCCCTGTTTCCGAACCGTTAGCGAAGGCGAAAGCAGGTGCCAAATGGAAAGTCCCAACCATATTGATCATGCAGTTTTTTGGTATAGCGGTGCATGTCCTCCGCATTTACCCTTTGCAAATACCATAGCCGCGAGACAGATGCCCAGAAAGGACCTGGAATCTTGGCGAGGGGGGAGAAGAGTCTTTGGTAGATGATCCAGCCAAAGCAAAAAGCAGCGAGCGAAACGGAGCAGAGAATTGGGTATGAAAAAGAAAGAGCCATTCTGGCTTCACCTTGCACGCAAACCGAAGGTGAGCAATGCGGTGGGTGGAACAATGCATTTGAAGCGGTAGGACGGCTTATATTTACGTGGAGCTGTGGAAAAAGCCCGGTCATTTCCGGATCCACGACACCGAAGAGTACAGCGCTGGATCCGACCCGTGGCGTGAAAATTATGGATCCCTGCAGCAAGTGTGACGAGGGTCTCTGGCCGCATTTCGATGATTTGATAGGCCAAGCAGAAAGCAACTAGGTACGCTGGTGGACGAGTGCAGAAGCTATTCGGGCGGGGCCAACCCTGCCGCGGGCCGGCGATTCCGACAGTAGGTAGTGGCCCGCGCCGCACCCACTTTTCCTTAGATTGACGTCCGGACTACTGTATTGTATGTACTATCTACAAACTGTCTGGATTTGCTTGACATTATCCCCGCGAGAGTGAGGAATTGCAATTGCCTCGTCACAAGCGAGATTACTGAGCATAGTTGATGAAGATCTTGCATAGATCGGGCAGGCGAAAGCGACCAAGGCTTCTCGGTTGGTGCGGCGCAGCGCTGTGCCACACAACTCAGCTATCATTTTCCTAGCTATTTCATATTCTCTGACTCCGCGTCCTTCTATTGGTCCGCATTTAGCGGTGTATGCACCCCCGCCGCAATCCTTCAGACGTGACTCGAACTTAGGGTGACGAGGTGCCTTGGGAGTGCTCCACGCGGCATCGTGTGCTTGTAAATGAGACCAGACTGGCCTGCTGTTGCTCGCCGATGGATCCACTGTAGGAATAACCTAGTCATGATGCTGGACTTGGTACCAAGCACACAGCTTGGTCTGGGTTGATGCGGCCCTCATAAATCAACTCTCATCCCTGTGGCTCTGAACCAAGCCTCATGGAAGCACCAAGCGACTCGACACAATGTCACCCGAAAATCATTCATACTTTGCCATATGGTGCTATGTGTCATATGCCCTTGGTACATTTGTTGTTGTTCTGCGGTGAGTGCAGCACAGCTTTCCCGAAATCACACATCTTGACGGAATTTAGACTCTACACGAGACTCTTTGTCGTCACCAGTCTAGGTGTCGACGACTACTTCGTTATCGCCGCAACGATATGTTCAACCGGGATCACTGCCTGCATTCCGTTCATGTTCAACCTTGGAATCGGCAAGCACATCATTCATCTGACTGTATACGAGGTCAACCATGGCAGAAAGGTGAGCGAAATCCCAGTTTGCTGTTTCCTTCAGCCACTGACGACCGCAAAGTGGGCATGGTATACTCAGATCATCTATTACTTAGCATTGGGGTAAGTGAGGCCAAGAAAGCGGTCCCCCGCGACTGGCCTTTCGACAGCCTCATCAAGACCAGCATCGTCTGCTTGTATCTACGCATCGCCTCACATCCGATACACGTCAAGTTTCTTTATAGCCTAGGAGCCATTGTATTCCTCCATGGCATTGCATCTACCTTTGTAGGCAACACGTCCATTTCTGCATTCTTCAAAACTAATAGCCATCGAGGCCACACTGTGCATGTGCACGCCCATTTCAATTGTGTGGAGTAGCACTTTCCCCGTCGGCTGCGACGATCTCCTCTCTTTCAACTATTTCAACGCCGCATTTCATATATTAGCCGACATGGTCCTCGCGCTTTTGCCAATTCCCGTGTTGAAGAATCTTCAGATTGATCCGGCGCGGAGAAGTAAGTGAGCTCCCTCTGTTTGTCATCATGTGCTGACCAACACTTCACAAACTCAGGAGGCCTCGTTGTCATCTTCGGCGTAACCGCCCTTGCCGTTGCCGGCACTATTGCTCGATAGGTCACGAGTGTCATTGCGCTTAATGTAGGCGCCGAATTCAGCTACGAATGGGCAGCTGCCGAGCTGTGCACATGCGTTGAGGTTAACATGGGGCTGGTCTGTGCCTCCATACCCGCATTGCAGCCGCTGTTCAAGAGCACGTTGAGGGGCTGGTCCAGTCTGGGGCGACCACGAGATGATTCAAGCGGAATATTGAATTCCGAAAGTGGCGTATTTTACTCCAGAGACACGAACAACCTCCGCCAATTGAGGAGTGGCATGAGTGACGAAATTGAAGGGTGGTCGAAGATACATGGGACAGGGGTGACGCATACACCGGCCAAGTGGTGTAGTGAGAGTGAAGAGCACATCCTCGAAGGGGGAATTGGTACGCAATCACGCGTACAGCAGGGAAGAGGGCATGTTCGTAATGATTAATATCACACTGCTGCTGCTGGCACAAGTTGGAAAGTAATTCAGCCGTCGTGTAGCTTGTGCCGTCGGGCTTGTTGAACGGGAGCAGCGGCGTTTTCATGGCGAGCGGCATCTTAGGAGCCAGACCGGGCTGCCCGGCTTCGTTTTCTTGTGCCTTTGCTGCCACGTCCAGAAGACGTATCGGGACTTGGAGCTTTGTCGGGGTCCGGCGGGACCATGAGCGTCCCCTGTAGCCAATTTGCGACACTGCCGTTGAGCTAGGTATGAAGTGTTCATTGTCGGGTCGGGACAGCTGCTGTTATGCGCCTGCGCTTACACTCGACGTCTCAGTAGGTAGTAGAATAGATGCAAAAGTATCATTGTACAGGAGGGGCTACATAAGGGGTCTGTCTCAATTTTTCCCTGGTCGCAATCGGACACTGGGGATCCCTTGAGGAATTTCATTGCAGATCGCGCGGAAAGGCTTCCCAAAACGGAGTGCTTCCGCTTTTACGCGCCCGGAGCACGTAGTCATTCATGGGTTGTCGCAGAAGATAAGAGAGAGATTGGACAACATAGGCCACGGGTGTGCCGAGGAAGGGGGGCCAAAATAATCCAGCATTGTAGATCTATTACGCATCGAAGCGGGTTACCTGACCTGTTCATGAAGCTCCTTAAATACATATATCAGTGGTGTTTTCTTTTGAGAAAAGGCAGTAGACAGAAGCAAATGCAACATCGTCTAACCACTAATGGGCTTCAAGTCCACAACGTCTTGGTCTACGATGGCTGTGGGAACCGAACGTCGATGACGTTTTTCACCCTGCGCAGCTGACCTGCATGGCCTCTTGCAGATCAACCTCTCCGCCCCACCTACTCTCAACTGCACCACACCAGGCAACACTGCGTGACCACATGCATCACATCAAAATCTTGCAGAGGGACTGCCACTTCGGGACAGCATCCCGCGGTCAAGTAAAATCCTTGCCCAGGAGGCCCCATACACCGTACCTTAGTACCTTCATCAAAGGAGAACGCAGTGACATTGGTGCACGCATTAGCAGCAGAATCAGCGCCAAGACCGGGTTTTGTTCTAGCAAGCTGAGTATACCGCCCTAGATGGTGGTTCACCGCACGGCACCACATGAGCTACGTCCCGGCCCATTAATGCGGCCCGCTCCCGGCTAAATGCCCATGTGCCACTACGGTGGAACATTTGGGGGCGAACACAGGCCGCTTCACCCCATTCGCTACGACAGTCCCACAACCTTGGTATACTAGTGTTCAAGACGACTCTGAGCTGATGTAAAAGGGAGAAAGTCCGCTCGTACGTCAGAGAGCCAGCGTACGTATGTACAAGTGAGACCGACCAGGGCGAGAGGGCTGCACTCGGCCGAAGTCGGCAGCGCATGTATTGATCTTGGCTGCATGTAATACAAAGTACAGTATGCATCATATGTAGGGCTTCTCTCGTCTGTCGATTTCATTGGTCATTTACAAATCGGATCCGACTCAATTCTGGGTTGACTGCCTTTTCAGCTTCCTTGAAGGGGCAGTGCTCAATATAAGCCCATTCCACATGCCCACCATGCTTTCAGATGAAGCTGCTGTTTGATTTTAAGCTGCATGTTGTGTCACCTCGTGATGCATTTTTATTGTACATACAGTGTTGTAGCTGGACGATATTTTCGTTCCGACGCGCCGGAACCGATGCTCTTCTCCACAAAGAAAACCGGAGAATCTCTACTGTTTGTCGATCCATACCCGCAATTGATGAAGGGGAATCTGACGCCAAAAGTGATGTCAGGCATCTATACACTGGCAGGGGGTGGCATTTGCATTTGTACCGGAGTTGATGTCTACTTAGTGTGGCCGGGCTTGAGCGATGACGATGAAACATCACGTGTAGCCCAATATGTTCTCCGTTTGTGCGGCACTGCCCTGCACGCGCTGCCTCTTCCGGAATATTGGAGATGATTAGTGCAGGCTTGATGCTGCCAGGGACCGCGTTTGACGTATGTCACGGCTGCAGCAATCCAAACTTTTGCTAGGATATAGACCAGTGGCTAAAGCAGACCGATGCATCGTCACTTCCCATTTTATCAATGCATCTAACGTATCTCTCTTTCCCTCTCCATCACCTACTCAGAACGTTGATGTAGGATAAGTCTCGATGGCACTTGGATATCGTGCTCTCATATGCGGCATCCTGGCCGGACCCTTGAGCCTCCAGTCAGTGTTTGCCTTGCCACTATTGGATCCTTTGGTCAACCCTTACGTTGACTGGCTCACTTCCCTCCTCAGCGGCAAAGGTCTGGTTGAGGGTACTCTGGGTACTGTCCAAGGTGCGCTCGGTGTTGGAAAGACATACGACTATGTGATTGTGGGCGGTGGGACAGGCGGCAACGCAATCGGGGTCCGTCTTGCTGAAGCTGGATTCTCAGTGGCGATCATCGAGGCGGGACTGTACTATGAGATCGGGAAGCCCGTGCTTGGCTCCACTCCGGCAGGCGGTATTGTGGGCATCGGTGCCAACCCCTTGGACTCGGATCCGCTGGTCGACTGGGTGTTCAAGACAGAGCCTCAAGCGGGGGCAAACGACCGAGAGGTGCACTATGCTCGCGGCAAATGTCTCGGGGGCACGTAAGTCATGACCAAAGCTAGCCATCTGTTGATAGAAGACTCACAATGCAACTCTCACAGTTCCGCTCTCAACTTCATGATCTACCACCGGTACGTAGCCATGTTTGGGTATTTCAAGGCCAGTAGCTGATCCATGATAGGGGCTCAGAGCAGTCCTATCAACAGTGGGCGGATGCAGTTGGCGACGAGAGTTACACCTACCAAAATTTCGAACCATATTTTCAAAACGCCGTCACATTCACGGAGCCCAACAATGAGAAGCGCGGCGCCAACGTCACAAGCAAATACGACCCCGCCGCCTTCACCTCTCCCGGCGGCCCCGTGCAGGTCGGCTACACGAACTACGTCTCCCCATTCTCTACCTGGCTGGAACAAGCCCTTCTGGCCGTCGGCCTGAAGAAAACCAGCGGCTTCAGCAACGGCAAGCTGCTCGGCACGCACTACACTCAAACAACCATCCGTTCTTCCGACCAGACCCGCAGCGCATCCGATGCATACATCAAGAGCGCCCTCTCCAACCCCAACCTGTCCGTCTACACCAACACTTTGGCCCAACGCATCCTCTTCGATGCGAACAACACGGCAACAGGTGTCACTGTTCAGTCCACCGGCATCACCTATGACATCCAGGCTGCGAAGGAGGTCATCGTCTCCGCCGGCGCGTTCCAGAGCCCACAGCTCCTCATGGTCTCAGGCATCGGCCCGCGCTCGGCCCTCGAAGAACACGGCATTCCCGTTATCGCGGATCGCCCCGGTGTCGGGCAAAATATGTGGGATCACGTCATGTTCGGGCCGGCGTACGAAGTCGGGATCAACACGCTGGACTACACGCTGCACAACCCGGTGGCACTGGCCGATGCACTAGTTGACTATGCGGCCGAGGCGGACGGAGTCCTGTCGTCCAACGTCGTCGAGCTGCTTGGGTGGGAGAAGCTGCCGCAAGAGCTGCGGGCAAACTTCTCGCAGTCAACGAGAGACGTCCTCGCGGGGTTTCCGGAGGACTGGCCGGAGGTTGAGGTGCGTTTTCTCCTGGTTTCTTTTCCCACGCTATCTGACTCTCCCGTTAATGACGTCCACCCCGCCTCGCAGCTCATATCCGCCAACGGCTTCATCGGTGACTTCGCCCTCCCAGTGCTGCAACAGCCCCTCGATGGCAAGCAATACGCAACCATCCTGGGCGGTCTGGTCGCGCCGACGTCCCGCGGCAACGTCAGCATCACGTCTTCCTCCATGACTGACGCCCCGCTCATCAACCCCGCCTGGCTGACCACACTCGCTGATGAAGAAGTCGCCATCGCCTTGTTCCGCCGCCTTCGGCAAATCTGGGCATCGGGGCCACTGCGGGAGATAAGGGTGGGAGAGGGGGAGTTCTGGCCAGGGTTGGGCATAGACGACGATCAAGAAATCCTACAAGTGGTAAGAGAAAGCGCGATGACAGTATGGCACGCCGCGTGTACGTGTAAGATGGGGCAAGAGTGGGACGTGATGGCGGTCGTGGATGCGAAGGCGCGGGTGTACGGAGTAAAGGGGTTGAGGGTGGTGGATGCAAGTGCGATGCCCATACTGCCGCCGGGACACCCGACGGCTACAATTTGTGAGTCATCTTCTCATTGCATTTATCCGCGACGAGCAGAATCCTGACAATACGGTATAGATGCGCTTTCGGAGAAAATTGCTGAGGGTATTGTGAAGGAGCAGAGGGGGGTGTAGATTGGTGCTCCGATTTCTGTTACTTCCGGATGATGAATGAATTGGCATGGTCGGTGTGACGGAAACATGGACCGAGCGATGGTTTCTTTTTTTTCCCCTGGGTGGGTGAATAATTTCTTATCTTTCTTTTCCAAGTGGCGGCCGCGGGCTGGGTAAGAGGAGCCGGCTCGGACAGCTACACTACTCCATAGTTAAATAGCTTCCCGATATTCTCTTTGATAGCGTAACATACAAGTGATAATTAGCTTACTATGAGAGGAGTGGTAGCTGCAGTGAAACTCCGGAGAGCGTTTGAGTAAGGATATATATTTTGCATGCGACGCGACTGCAATGTCAATCATCAATACCGCCTTGCAGGGCGTATATGACGTCTACTTACTCGGAATTCCCGAGATTTTGCTGACGCACGTTCACGCTGGCGATTAGAACGGCCGCTGGAACGACCGAACCGAAGTGGGCAACCGAAGCGATCGGGCAAGACATTTCCAATTCAGTATAAGGCAAAGAAAGTCCGCGTCAGCCGTGCGCCGTTAGGGGAGGCGTTTCGTGCGCGGGAGGCCTGATCTTCGGCTCTCAGACAACGATGCGGCCAACATGTTCGGTGATTCGGGCTAAACACTTCCTAGGCCTTGTCCTTTTTATGACGCTGCCCTCACGTCCTCGGTCCTGATTTAAGCTTAACGCTCGAGACTGGCCATGTTTATTTCCACACCGACCCTGCTTGGCATACTGCTTCTTTTTTTTCCCTACCGTCTAGCTTTTGCACGCCAGCACAATGCACAAGGCCCGGATCTTCGCAGCCGCTGGGCTAATCACAAACACCGCTTCAGCAAGCTTCGCTGACCCTGAGACTGAGCATAGACCTAAGTTCCGGTATTGGTACGATAAGGATCCCGTTCCGCTCCGACGCTCTGGACTTCCCACAGAGATTGGTAAACCCTCGTCGGTTTTATCTGAAAGCCCCGAGTTAACGCTGCATAGGCTCCCAGACGCGTCTGTTCCAGTCTCGATAGTGCAAGAGGACATCGCAACCATTGCAGCTGCCGGTGTAGGAGGCATCGAATTTGTTCCATACTATCAGTATGGATTGCCTGAATCTGAAAGCGGCGTTGTGCCGCCAACGGACTGGACGAAGTACGGCTTTGGTTCCGACGCGTTCAGAAACATCTTCAAAGCCGCCTTGGAAGCTTGCCGTGCCAATAACATCACCATGGACTTTGCGCAGGGTGCGAATCAAGGCGCAGGTGCCCCGAGCCCACCCGAAGACGTGGGACTGGCCGTCGAAATGGTATTACTACCTTCAGCTACGGGACTCACAGTTGATGGCCACTAATGTATTGCGTTGTGTTATAGGCCTACGCCAATGTCACAGTCGGAGCGGGCCAAACTTTCAACGGAACCCTGCCGCTATCCAAACAGCTGGACAATCCTTTCACCGCACTTATGAACAGCCCGCAAGACTTCGGTCAACAGACTCTGTTCGCTGTACAGGCTATTGAGGTTGTCTCCAGTAAGTTTATCCATCTTCATCTGTTGTCAGTGTCCTAAACAAACTGCTTTTGAAGCGTCTCGCGCCAATGTGGGCGAAGGTGAATTCTCTTCATCCTACGCCCTGAATCAGGTCGGTGAGGTGATCGACCTGACCGCACAAATTGGCGCCGGTCGATCTCTCAATTGGACCGCGCCCGCGGGAAACTCAACTTGGAGGGTCATCGCATGGTACGAGCGGTACACGAATCAGAAAAGCTGCCAAGGGGGGCTCAATGCCACCGACCCAATTGGGAACGGGTCATGGGCTGTGGACCACTTCAGTGCCAACGGTTTGGCCTTCACACGGCACGTTTCACGCCACAAATATGCTAACGAGTCCGACAGGGTCGAAGAAAATCACCCAGTTCCTGGATGAGCATGTCTTTCCTGACGCAGAAACAAGGGAGCTGCTGGCTTCTGTCGGGAGACTTGGTAGGTTGGCATCACAGATCATACCACAGGCCAAGCTGACACATTCCAGCATGGGAAGACAGTATGGAAATGGTGTCAAGCCTGTGGTGGACACCGAGTCTGCCAAGCAGATTCAGTGGCGCAAGGGGCTACGCCATCACCTCGTGCCTGCCATTCCTTATTGTCCCTGATAACTCGTGGAATAGCGCCATCGTACCGTACGGTGAGGGATTCCAGTCAGCCGAGAACAAGACGTTCGGTCAGAAGTGTAGCGAAGATTACCGGACCACATTGAGCGAAGGCTATAATGACTACCTTACGGAACTTGTCAACTGGTCCAATGAAAGAGGACTCTCGTATTCAGCGCAACCGGCGTACAATTTGCCACTGGAAATGGTCAGTCTTGTTCTGTGGTCATTGCCTTCTTCGGCTGACTTTGAAGCTCAACAACATCCCCGTGCTGAACATTCCGGAAGGAGAATCGCTTGCGTTCAGTGATGTTGTGGATACTTACCGCCAGTTTTCTGGCCCTGCCCATCTTGCTGGCATGTCGGTGATATCATCCGAGTGTGGGGCTGTGAGCGGTGGCCCCTATTCGCAGTCACTTCCCGATCTTCTCTGGTCGGTACGCCGTGGCCTATCTGCTGGCATTTCCATGCACGTTCTCCATGGATTCGCCTATTCTGGGAGATATACGAACACGACCTGGCCATCATTTACGACATTCTTCTACATGTACAGCGACATGTGGAACAGCAATCAACCCAGCTGGATCCATATAAACGATTCAATCCAATACATTGCGCGGAACCAGTACATGTTGCAAGGTCATCCCAGTGTCGACCTGGCCTTCCACATGGACAGTGCTCCGTGGAAGCCCGAAGAATACTACACCGACACGAACCTGGAAAGCCTCGGCTATACCTACGAATACCTTTCGTCAGGTAACCTTGAGAACGCAACCGTGCGGAATGGAATCCTCGCGCCGAGCGGGCCTTCGTACAAAGCACTCATCTTTCTCAACCCGACTGAGATGACACCGGATGCTGCAATGAAAACCCGATGCTTCGCAGATGCGGGCCTTCCAATTTTCATTGTAGGGGGGACCAATTTTTCTGATATCGGGCAGGAACCAGGTGCAGCAGCACAAGTCTCCAACATTTCGAGCGACTTGCACTCGCACGAGAATGTGCACGTGCTTACGTCCAGTGCAAAGCTGCCCGAAGCCCTCTCAGGCGTAGGCATTCTCCCCAAAACATCATTCTCTTCCAACACCACAACCTGGTACTCGGCATGGCGCAGCAGCGGGGGCATAGAGTATGTCTACATCTACAACGACGCTTCTTTCACCCAGAGCATCAACGTCGCCTTTGCTACAGATCCGGCACGGATCCCATATCACTTGAACGCCTGGACTGGCGCCACCACAGCCGTGCTCCAATACAATAGGACCACCACTGGAATTACCATCCCCGTCACCCTCGCCGCCAACCAGACCACCATCTTCGGCTTCGCCCCCGCCAACACATCGTCATCGTCATCCGCACTCCTCCCCTCCGCGCCGCCCGTTCACGTCACCTCCTCCGGCGACGCCCTCGTCGCCCTCGTCGACTCCACCGAGTCTGGCTCCACCATGCAGAAGCTGTCCGCATACCTCTCCGGCGGCACCGCCTCGCTGCAGCTATCCACCGGCGCGACGGTCAACCTGACGGCATCGCCGCCGCCGCCGACGAACCTGACGACGTGGGACATCCGCATCGAGAGCTGGCACCGCGACGAGGACGACGACGACCGGTACAGCATGGCGACCGCCGTGACGAACCACGTCTACAACGACTCCCGCTTGGCGCCGTGGACGGAGCTCGGCGGTGACGATGGCGCGCTGGATGGCGTCAGCGGCGTGGGGCGGTATAGGACGACGTTCGTGCATCCGTCGGTCGTCGCGGACGGCGAGGGGAGCGGCAACGGCAACGGCAGTACGGCGGCGGCGGCGTTGAGCGGAGAGAAGGCGAAGAAGGTCGGTGCGATTCTGCATCTCGGCCCCGTCGTCAATACGATCCGCGTGTGGCTGAACGGGGCGGTGCTGCCGCCGATCGATATCGCGGATGCGGTGGTGGACGTGTCGGATTACGTGTTGGAGGAGAGGGTTAATGAAGTTGTTGTGGAGGTGACGACGACGTTGTTCAACCGCGTCAAGGCTGATGCGGATGCAACGTGGACGTATGGGCTGATGGCGAATAATGAGAAGAACGGGAGATTCTATGAGGTGAATGAACCGAAGGGGTATGGGTTGTTGGGACCGGTGTGGGTGCAGTGGGTGGAGGTTGTGGATGTCTTGTAGATCGATGTGCGTTGGCTGTATGAGTATCTTCGTGCTGTCAAATGCGTCGTTGCTTCAATTGGAGAAGAGCATGCCAGCAATGTATACCAGGTGGAAGACAGTGTTTCGTAGACTAGCTTCACCTTAAGGCTGACTTTCTCCAAGGTGCAATGGATCAGAAATTCCATGTTTGGAGGATCTACGTTCACAATGCTGAAACACTCGTCGTTTTTTCGAAGGCGTTGGTGCTAAATGATGGCTCTTCTGCCTCGAGTTTGATAGGGATAATCTCAGAGCAAGCGTGAATCTTCATTGGTCAAGGCCGGGTTGAGACAATCATTGGTTTGGGTAAAAGCTAGATATTGTAGGATTTGCTTCTCCAGTGCCGTGAACTCTGATCTCCTCAGTCCTTGAAAAGATTGGCCCCCACACCTGGGTGAACAGGGATGCGGTTACTACGTACACACACGGGCGAAGAGGAAAAAGGGCAAGATCGCCGCGTCAGCCCGCATTCAGCTGGCGAATCCTTCGTTTCGCAGAGAAAGCAAAGCATCCACTGAGGATTAAGTTCATCGACGTTGGAGGAGCTTGTGCCTCGGCGCTTCCGCGCGGCCAATGCTGGCTTTTCGAGTTTTCAAGAGGAGCGGGGTGCCGCCTCTGTCCTTTTCACCGCTGAGATACATAATAATCCTCACTGCCCGTCATTCTTGACGATCCGAGCAAATGCAGGGCTACACCAGCGTGCCAACCCGCCATGCACTCGCCCCCGGGAACACCCCCGCCTCATGGCACGCTTGAGGTCGACGTCACCGCTCAACGTGACAATGAACGTCAGGCTCAACTCCAACACAGCAGCAGCAATCTCCTCTCCGAAGTATGGGTGGCGGCGTCAGACAAGGATGCGAATGCGCCGCAACTCGTAATGGACGGAAGTTTGCCCATCCCAAAGGTTGCGGATGAGAGTGCACCGCAGGTCATCGACACGGACACTTTGCCAGAAGCCATCATCATCGAGGACCAACGAAGGCCGCCGCCACGTCGCATCTGCGGACTGAAAAAGCGCACTCGTTGGATCCTCGTTGCTGTTTCAGTGGCGGCAATCGTTGCCATTGCCGTCGGTGCTGGAGTCGGGGCTTCGCGATCCAATTCCAATTCCGGCGACGACTCGGCAGATGGCGACATGAGTCTTCTCTCAACCTCGAATCTCGCGGCCGCAAACTTCACCACAGACGGCGTCGACTTCCACTGCGTTTACTACCAGCTGGAATCAAAGCAGATTTACCTGTCTGTTTGGAACTCGTCTAGTGATGTCTGGGCTGCTTATCCCGTCGTGCTGGATAGAAGTGACGTGTTGAAAAACACGCCCATAGCTGTTGACATCCAACGGAAGAGTGACAACGTGCGTGATGCTTTGCTGGCTTATTTTGTTATTCGCTGACCTTCGATAAAGGTGCATAGACATCACGTCTTCTACTATGGCGCAGACAAGACGATTCGCGGAAAGGCAGCCGATACTCCTTATGCAGCGAGTTGGGATGACAACAACGGCTTCGACGCAGAAAAGTACAGTGGAGACGTCAGTTCGCTCACTTCATACTCGAAGGAGTGTGAGACATGCTACGCTGCAATTTCCATCGTCTATTACGATGGGAGCCTGCAGTGGACAAGTCCGAAGGCCGACGACAGTGGCCAAACAGCCTGGACTCAGACTACTTTGCCATCAGGACTACCCAAGCCTGCAGACGGCACACGGCTGGCATTGAAGCCTCTGTACAACGGCACCACCGGAAATGGAAAATTCATCGCCATGTTCATGACCACCAACGCCAAGAAGCTGGCGAAACTGCTCTACAATGGGCCACAGGACAGGTGGGAGGGTGGTAGGATATCTGCTCACGTGGCGCTGTGGGTACAAAAGCTTACAGTATTGCAGAGACCTTGGACGTCAGCCTCTCGGCCAATTCCGCCATCGCCGCCTTCACAGCTGGCACATTTGTCAACGGCAGCGACTCCAAGTCCAACTATACCATGCAGGTCTTCAACACGCATCCCGGCGAGGCGAGTGGAGGCGTGACGCTTTCTTCGTACTCGTCTAGCTCTTCTACCTGGAATTCTTCATTGTTGGAGTCTGGCTTTGAAAAGGTTCTGAACAGCTCTGGAATCGCTGCGAGTCAGGCAGGGCAAGTGTACGGCACTGTGCTGTCTGACGGCGGAAGACCGCAGTTGATTGAGTGGGTGTGGGACATGGGGAACGGTACTTACACCTTGACAGGTGCGGTAAACACGACCGTCGCCGAGTAGACGTACGGGCTGAAGCAGCGTACCCACCAATCAATTCAATCAATTCAACCCATCTAAAGTAGCAGATTATAGGTAAAATAGTGACGATTTGAATTGATTGCGCACGGGGTCGGTTTAAACTATTTAATACCAGTTTCAACTAGTAAATTGGGTCACGATTCTTGGCATGGGATTAAACCTACTGCCACCGCCGCCGCTACCGCCGTCTACTAGTATCACGATTCTTGGTATAGCGTTAAACCTGCTGCCACCGCCGCCGCCGTCTACTAGTATTACGATTCTTAGTATGGTGTTAAACCTGCTACCGCCGCCGCCGCCGCCGCCGCCGCCGTGCACGGGCGTGACTTCCTAAATAGGTTTAGCTCCGGGCGGAATAATAATAATACTTAACACTATACAAAATTATTTACGATATTCTAACCACTACACGTATTTTAGAGATAACTAGTTTAACGTATATTCTTACCGGAATTACGTTCTCCGTAGCCTAATAATACTCCCTATCGCCCTTGCGGTATGTTTCGCCGTTAAATAAATTAAATTAATTAGCATTTCGGGGGATGCGAATTAATTTATCAATTATATACGCGAATTAGGTAAATAGAAAAATATCCGCGCTTGAATTGCAAGGCTTGCTGAGATTGGTCAATTTTCAGATTGGGTGGGTACGCTGGGCTGAAGTCCCACCGGAGCCGCGGGGAAGGAGGTGTGCTCTATTCATTATTGCTTTGTTTCCATATTATTCATCGGCCAGTCGATGAGCCTCTAATTACATGACTCTGTTGCTCAAAAATCTCATTAAAACGGAATGCCAACCAAGCTCATCCCCTCAGGAGCTCGACCACGACCGCCTCCGACGCCTTGACCACCACGCTCCTCTTCGGCGCACCGCCCTCAACGTTAATCGTTACGGGCGTCTCACCATCCGTGTACTCGGTGCCGTTGTTCTCGGCCGTCCACCTTTTACCCGCCCAAGTGATGCTGCTATTCGCCGCCGCGCCGCCGGGCGCCGTCAGCCTCGACACGCGCACGCTCGTCACATCATCCCCGAGCCCGGTCAACGCGACTTCCTTCTCGCCCCGGGCGGCCCCCGTGCCGTTATTCCACACATTCAGATTCAGCACCGCCACCTTGGACAGCTTCCCGCCGTGGTACCCGGCGTAGCCCACGACGTTCGGATGGCCGTCCAGCTCCAGCGCCCGCACCGCCAGATCGCCGTCCCCGCCGACGAACTCGGCACCCGCGACGAGCCCGTAGTAGTTGCCGTGCACGGCCTTGGGGTGGCCGGTGGTGGAGATGGGCTGCCAGGCCGACATGCGGAAGTTGGTGCCGAGCTGCATCGAGACGCGCTCGATGCCCAGCGTCATGCCGTGCAGCAGGAAGTCCAGCGTCCAGAGGGAGGCGCCGAGGGTGTCGTAGAGGGCCTGGTTGACGCCGGCGCTGCTGTCGACGACGATGGCGGAACCCACTTCGCCGAGGATGAAGGGGACGTTGTGTTTGGCGGCGAAGGCGATGTTGTCGCCGAACTTGGACTGTATTTCCGAGACGGTGCCGGCGTGGTTGAGGAGATCGTCTGTGCGCGGGGGTGTCAGTCGGTCAGTTGGGGAGCACAGCATTATGGGCTACGGACCTTTGAGGGTGCCGCTGGCGGTTGTTTGGTAGTAGTGCTGCGAAACCGTCTTGACGTATCCGCCGTCGTTGAGCTTATCCCAGAGCCCGGATCTGCACACAAACGATCAGCACCGCCACGAGATGAGCCGACGCCGGGTATGTACTCACAGCCCCCACAGCGTCTTGTTCTTGACCCCCGAGGCCAGCGTCAGCGTCTGGAACCAATCCTTCACCCCACTCTGCTTCAACGGCCCCACCCTGCTCGTCAGATCCGCCGCGTACGCCGTCCACTCCCTCGCGTAGTCCTGCGGCCCCCACGAGCTGTTCCTGTCGGTGCGGCTCCCGCACCCTATGGTCGGGTAGAAGTTGGGCTCGTTGCCGATCTCGAAGCCGTCCAACGTGTCCGTCGTCCCCCCGAGCGCGTCGATGCACGCCTCGGCGAAGGCCACCCCGTTGGACACGTTCTTCCGCGCCAACGGGATCTGCACCGTCCACCGCGGCGCCAGCCCGTCGGCCCCGGCCAGGTTCGCGAAGCCGTCCAGCCACGGCTTCCCGATGTCGACGTCGGCGTGCAGCGCGCATTGTGCGTTGCTCGTCGTGTTGACGGCGAGGGAGGTGAGCGCCGGCCTCCATACCGTGTTGTCCATGGACGTCCCGCCCACTCGGATATGCAGCGGCGCGCCCCCCGTGCGCGTCGATATTTGTGAGAACAGGTAGGTAGAGAGGCGATTGGGGGTGGAGCCGACCCCGGCGTAGTCGGGGAAGGATGTCATTTCGATGCCGAAGCCGATGTAGCCTTTGTCGACGGCGGTGGCATCGCTGGCCGAGGGATTGAGGCTCCACTGGATCGTCGAGGCACTGTCGGACGATGAATTGGGCGCTGGCGCTGCCGTGGCAGTCACGGCGGCGGCGCAGAGGATGGCAAGGTCGGTGGTGGGCTTCATGGCACGATGGTGTTGGCTTGTTTACCAAACACTCGGTGTCGGGAGCAACTACCTACTATATGTATCTCATCGACTTTTCCAAATTTACCTACAAGCGAGATGGCAGTGTTTCGATGCTGCGCCACTGATCCTTTGCCCGCCCCGCTTTAGGCTCACCGCTGCGCACAAGGATCGGCACTGATGGATACATTTATGCTACCACCCGGTGCTATGTAGGCAAATTGGTAGAGAAGCTCGCCCCCTTTAAGCTCTACTTCCGTCCCAGTCTTACTGTAGTTGGTGCACTGCCCCATGCGCACTTTCAGCCCCGTGACGTAATCTCACTACCGTCTGCCGATCCCATCAGCCATATTGGCGTGAGATTTAAAGCCTTTTCGCCGCCGCCTAGTCTCACCACTACCGCGCCAATGAAAGCTTATAAGAGCGGAGAGCCGACTTCTTCCAGCCTTACCGCTCCTATGCGCAGCGGGAGGTGGCATGGTCATGTGCGTTCGGCCCTGCTGGTTGTGCGCACCCCTGCCTGTGTTCACCGGCTCGCTTCACTTTTGGACCCCACGGCGTGAGAAAAGTGTTGGGTACCTCGAGACATGCTGCGTCCCATGCACCAATGGATCCATGGAACGCCTGAGGATAACCATTCGTCAAAAATTCGACAGACTGTTGGCTCCAAAAGTGGCCCAGAGAGTGCCTGGCCTGTTGGCTACCCCTATTGAACCTTCACTCGATGCAAACATACCTTCTGCAGAGCCTTCCGACGGTATGAGATTCTCTTGATCATTTTCCACTTTCGCCGCCACCTGGTTACCCTGCATCAATCCCACAGCAGCCGCGAAGTAGACTCCTGTAGATCAAAAACATACATGTACCGGATTGTAAGTCTCGCCCCTCCACCCACCACTACTATCGATCAGTAAGTACCCAGGTAGGCAAATGCACAGCCCCCTAAGAAGTCGAATGTCCGCACATCCCACCCTATCAGCCCGTTCGCCGCATCATTCACGTATGTCGGCTTACCAAAATCCTTCTCCGCACTCGTCTCGCTTCGGCCTTCCCAGACTCTGCCCCCGTCCTGTTCATGTTCTTCTTCATTACTCATCCCATTCCTCTCTTTCTTCTGATCATCCGCATCATCCTTCACTTCCACATCTTTCTTCTTCTTATTTGTTGCTTCTTGGGACTTCCTGGACGCTTCTTTCTGCTCGCCTATCTTCTTTTCCAGCTTCTGTGGCTGGCCCTCTACGCCGCTGCCAGCATAACTCCCGCGACCCTCAAAGAAAAGTTCCAAGAACACTTCCCACTGCGCCACATGCCAGACTGAGTCCGGATTATACACGTATCTGCAGTTGTACCATCATACCAATTGAACAATGAGCCAATTCGTGAAGGCGCAGGCAAGCTTAAACCGTGTTAAAGAGTACTCAAGTGCACTGCATCGATGAATTTGAACAACTCCTGCCTTGGAGCTCTTTTTTTTCAATCGTCTTCCGCAACCACTTTCTCTACGGGACAGCGTTTCGCTACTCCTTCTTTTTCCCCATCTGCCCGTCATGTCCGTCGACCACCCGTTCTACAAGTACAGCCCCAACCGTGGGGCTGCCCTCGCCTACGCCATCATCTTCGGCGTTACCACCCACATCCACGCCTGGCAATGCCTCCGCAGCAGAATCTGGTAAATGACGACCTTCGCAGTCGTCGTGGGGTTGGTCATGCAGCCGCTGTGCTTCGGGGTGTTCGTAGTCGTCGGCGTTGGGTTGAGGCGGCGGGTGGCGGCCGTACTGGCGGCGCAGGTTGCATGTACAATGAAGTGAATCCCAGCGAAGTAACCAGGCCATTGGGGGAGGAATGGCCTGTCAAGGTGGAGGGTTATACTCTGCTTCTGGGACGGCACCAAAGGACCACCATGTGTGGAGCATGCACAAGGCGGCGGCCACATCGCTAGCGTCCCTGCCTATTTGTCTGATCTATGGACTCATTGGAACATGGCTAGACTCACCTCCACCAAGGATGTCATGTCTTCGACGCTCTGGATGTTAGCTGGAAAAGATGTTTTCAGCGGCCTGTGGATGTCCGGCTTCGGTTAAAATGACACCAGCGGGTGGTTGATGTGAGTGGGATGCTTCAGAGGCACAACATTCCTACAGTTATTTACACCATGACGACGCAGACGTGGTGCAATAGTCTTCTTAAATCATGACTGGTCTTGCTTTCGGCTTTGATCTGCAACAGGATTGACGACACCAGCAGCGCTAAGTGGGGGTGACGGAGCAGAAGATGGCCGAAGCGGTGCTTGTAATTTCCCGTAGTTGGTTAGCAGTGCCCCGCTGCCATAAGCTGAGTTCCCGAACCACCGTGATCACAAGCTTTAGCCAAGCTGTGTTGGCAGCGGGCTCGTGCACAGGGGTTTTATTTGTGCGGCTCAAAAAAGAAGCATTTGTGGATGCGTTACGCAGATCGACGTCAGCTCGCGACAGCAATTCGGGCCAACCAGTGTACCTCCCCCATGATCATCCTCCCATACAGTACCCATTAGGTTTGATCGACACAACACCGTTCCCATTGCCGGCAGGCTCAACAGGATCCATGCTGACATTCGCAGTAAGAGGGTCAGCCTCTCAGCCAGCAACGGGTGAGGGTCTGGATGGGCGGATGCACCATTTGAGAAAAAAATCAATATTCTCTGGCAGTGGGTATCAGATAAAGGAAGACGGGTTGTCGTGCTTTCTGGCCTTCGAACAATACAACACTCAACTCCATCACGCAATCCCCATTCAATCTCCAACAACACAGCACCCGCCTGCATCACCCAATTCCATCACAAGATTCCTCACTCGACTCCATCCCTCGATTCCATTGAATCTCCAAACAACGTGAGCATTCCTGACAGCTTCGCTACGAGCAAAACTCACAACTTTGTAGTCAACCGCAGCCATGCACGCTTTCACCATCACCACCGCTCTGCTTGCAGCTCTCGGCGCCACTGCCAGTCCGATTTACAACAACAACAACAACAACAACAACAACGCAACCGAGGTCGATGTCGTCCGCCGGTCCAACTCCTGCTTGGGCATGACTGCTCCTGCCGACGACTACCAGTTCGTTTGGAGCGTCTACCTGGACAACGACGACAAGTACAACAAGCAGTGTGGCGGCGGCTGCCTCGACAACTTGCGCGGGCAGTGCGGCCTCATCGTCGACTGGGGATGCACTCGTGGTAGCGACAACGTCGCCCACATGACTTTCTACACGGACGATTTTTGCACACCCTACAAGGTCTCGAAGGCGCTGAAGAAGTGCACCCAGGGCACCCAGGTCATCAACTGCAACTAAGTCGGGCAGGGCCTAGACTAGTGCTGCCTTGCACGTGGCTGGTACATACAATGGGTGGCAGCGGCGGTGGTGGAAGCTATTTAGATGATTGCTTTATCGCGGCATGGATATTAATGACATACGAATCGTTAGTGGAACAACTTTGTTTTTCTCTGTTGAAGTCGATCGCTGAAGATGCAAGGTATATAATATTGCAAGGTTTGAGAACGTCATGAGTGCGCAGAAACGGGTGAGACGATGGCTGCAAGATTTAGATTACCGGGACAGATGCTGGAGATGAAACAGGCTCATGACCAGTTCTGCAGGAGAAGACGTTGAAAAAGTTGGAAGGTACAAGGCCGTGGCGTGATTGATAGCTAACAAGTTCCCGGAGGAGGGTCGTCGGCGCCGAAGCGGACCAAAGCGGCCTAGCGTGCCGGGCTTCGGCAATGGAGGGCAGGTAAAAAGCAAACCACAGAGTCCTCGTCCACGGCCAAACCCCTTTCAACTCCGAACCCGCCGCAACTTGTCCCCAATAGATCTAGACTACTATGCCGCAGCCGCCTTCAACACTCCGAGGCCGTCTTGCGAAAGCTTGCGACGGTTGCCGAGCCCGCAAAGTCCGATGTTCCGGTTCGTCTTGCTTCGTGATGGCGCTTGAACCCCGAGAAAGCATTGACGTTGCCGCCTCAAAGCAGTGGAAGAAGGGTCTGGGAGATGCAATCCGTGCAGGGTATGTCCCTGTGTGCGTCGGTCGTCTCTCCCGCTGACGCTGTCTTCGAAAGAGAATGGGCGCCCTCGACTGCCGCTGGAGCCAGAGAAAGAGGCCGCGAAGGAAGACTCGGCTCGAAAAAGAGGAAGAGATTCAGCGAGGTAAGCGTGCGGGCAGACGTCCATCACCCGCACGGGAGACGGGAGCTCATCCGAATGCTCGCCAGCTTCCGCAACAGCAGCTCTTAGCCGCCCGCTGCACATGGTCTACCACTCGGCATCTTCCCTTGACACTACGCCAGGAATGACGCCATCGCCAACTACCGTCCCACTTTCTGAAGGAAACGATGCCGCTACTCACTCTCACCACGGCTGCGGCGACGAACTCCCGGACTTCAACCTCGGCGGACCGCGACTGTCCGACCCTGAGACGGCCAAGTTTACAGACCAGACCCAGATCCCAAGGCTGTACGTCGATGGACTACTCGAGGATCCCATGGCATCTGTCCGACGTCCTCGCGATCAAACACATGCTCAATCCCAGGTAGGCCAACCCTTATTGAGCGTACGTCATCTCTGCTGATTGCAACTGCCGGACTCGGACCTTGTCGGCATGTTACTCGGAACCCACTGCGTTGACTTTGCCCGACCTTTCTGGCGGCACAAACCTCAGCCTGGCCTTTCTCTCAACAAGACGCCTGGCCTCGCTATCATCTCGCCTCGGTCATCATAGATTAGACATGCTGGTTGAGGCGATTGAATCGACTCTCAGCGCGCGCATGAAAAGCGTGGATAAAGTGCCCTCCCGCTCCACGGTTCGAGAAGCCCACACACCAACCTCACCCGACGTGGGCGCCTATGCCATCAAGTACATCCAGTGTCAGTGCCTCGCCTATAAATACTGCAGACACTGCTAAAACCACGTAGCCTACTTTGAGCAAGTCCATCCACTTTACCCTTTTCTTGACCGCAAGACCTTCGAGGACCGTGTCTTCAGCCCACAACTTACGCACGAGCTAGCCACCGATAAGAGCTGGTCGGCTCTCTATCATGCTGTGCTTGCCATCGGCTCGCAGTACCACGACGGTGGTAGCTTTGTGCCCGGCAAAGGCCAGGCTTGGAGGTATTTCGAAGTCACCTTCTCGCTCTGCCCGGACCTGCTCATCTTCAAGGCCAATCTCACCACCGTGCAAGCGTTGACCGCAATGGTGAGTCACGTTCACAATTCTCTCTCTCTCTATTGTGGTAGACACCCTAAGCATTCCCACAGGCAGTCTTTGCCCGCAACATATCCTGCATCCAGCTCGAATCCATCACCGTCTCCCAAGCCGCCCGCATGGCCCAATCCCTCGGCTACAACCGCACCACCGGCTCGAGCGCCGCATCGACCCAACGCACCTTCTGGGTTCTGTACTGCATGGAGAAAACAACGTGCTTCTACACGGGCAAGACATCAGTAAGCCGTTCCTCCCACGACCCACTCGCCTCGATACTCACCAGCGCCCAGCTGCTCAGCGACCACGACATCGGATTCGCCGTATGTAACCCTCCCTCTCCACTCTGACTCACTCACTCACCCTCTCCCCCAACACAGCCACCCAGCCACCCTGAACCCGCGTTCCAAAACTTCGACTGGCTCACAGCCTTCAGCCGACACGGCCGCCTCGTATCGCGCATCTACGGCAGCCTCTTCGCCATCAACGCGAGCGGCAAGTCAGCATCGACCTACTACCGCATCATCGGCGAGCTGCGCGCCGAGCTGGAATCCTGGCGGCTCTCGATGCCCGAGCCCTTCCGGCCGGGAGAGGACGGCGGCGGTGCGTTTCGGGTGCGGGCGTTTGGCGGCGGCGGAGCGGGGCCGCCGGCGACGACGGTGGCCGTGTTCGTGCGGTATTTGTATTTGAGCGTGGTGTTGGCGCTGGCGCGGGCGACGCTGCACGTGGCGCGGACGACGGAGGAGGAGTGCGCGAAGCATCAGGCGGCGAAGCGGGAGCTGATGGGGGCGGCGAGGCGGGTGTTGGAGCTGTGTCGGTATGTGGAGGTGGAGGCGTTTAGTCATGTGTGGTGAGTGGCTTCTTCTGGTTTTTGTTTTCGTTTTGTCCGTTTCTTGCATGGTGGTGGTTGGTGCTGATGGGATGCAAGGGTCCTGGTCTTCATGCCGCTGTCCGCCCTGTTCATTCTCTTCGACTTCGTCGTGCACAACCCCGTCCACCCGGAGACGAACAACAACCTGGCCCTGCTGGACATCGCGGGTGGCCACTTCAGCCACCTGGAGTGCGTCAGCCGTGGCACGCTGCCGGCTTCCTTGGTCGCCGAGTTCGCGCACATCGCTCGCCAGTACGTGCAAGACTTTCGGTTGCAGCAGTATCAGAAGATAAAGGGCATGGCGGTGCAACCCACGCCCATGAGTGGAGCTGGGGCGACGGCAAATCCGGCCATGGCGGCGAGTGCCTCGATCACAGCACGCGCGGCCCCGACGGCGATTCCGACCCCGCCCGGGTCAGCGGGCGAGGTCCTGTGGAAGATGACTGGTGCGATGGTGGCTGCTGAGCAGCTCCCGGGATCCAAGGGAATTGAAGCGTCCCAGCAGGTGAGCGTCCGTCCAACGATGGCAAGATATGGTAAACGCTCTAATATTCCTCTCCACAGAATCAAAATACGGGAGATGGATACCCAGTCCCGAATGTTCCTGGTTTGGAGTATACTGACCCCCTGGTGTTCTCGTTCGGAGACAATATGGTATCCGAACCAATGGAGTCCGGGCTCGGTGTCGACATCATGGATCTGTTTGACATTGATCTTTCGGATATCTGGTCGTTGGCGGTATAGTTCGAAAATGAGGCTGTCCGCCTCTATCTGGATGTCTGGGAAGGAATGGAAGTGGACTGGCTGTAGTCTGCGTCAGCAGAATGCGTTTCACAACTCTGCAATGGACCCCACTTGGAGCTGCAGGAGTGGCAACACATGTCTTTTTTTGATTCGCACTAGCATGAGTGGCTTCCACAAACGAGAACCTTCAGCCTATCGTCGACCCGGGCGTGTGCATTGCGGCCCGAATAATCTGCTACTGGAAATGTTCCAGGACAGATTGCGGCTTTGATCTTCAGCCATTTGATAACTTTTTCCAAGTCTACCTTGTGACCAAGCCCACTCAGTAGAGGCACACGGTGATTTGAACAAATTGTGTCATGTGGTGACTGGTTGAGTAGATGGAAGTTTGAACGGAATCCAATAACGCCATACCTATGCCATCAAAAATTGTTCGGAACAGACATTTGCCCACTCAAACCGCTAGAGTCAAAATTTCAAAAAGCCTTTTCGCCTCCACCAGAGCTTTCTGGTAACAAGACACACAACCAATGTACCTGGCCAAAGACGACTCTGAGCCTGTTGACTTTCTTCACTCTGATCGTAGCCAATAAGTCAAAATCCTTGGGTTTGCGCCGGCTAGTCACCACTCGTGCCCTGCACGGCATGCCAGCCTGAGTGAGGTTCTTGTCAACGTAAACGTCAACCTCGTTTTTCCAGCGATTCGGTAGTGGATAGAACACCGCAGGGCGGCCTGATGATCTTGGTTTAGTTTCTTGTTGCCTGCAGCGTAGCTTCTCAACGACTTACCCTTTAAATCGCTGAGCTTCCGGATGCTCAGGGGCCTCTTGTAGAAGTCATGTTGGTCGTAAGTCAGGACTTTGCACGTTTTCGCGCCAAATAGTCCGGGCTCAGCGTTGTCGTCTGGGAAATCGCATTGCGCCAGGATCCAGTCTTCGCCTTCAACCAAAGATGAAGGACGTCTTTGGAGATGTGCCCGCTGCTGTGAGTCTGATAGCTCACGTAACAAGTAATTACATATCGAACGAAGCTTTTCAACATCGGAAATGTCTTCAAGCGCAAAGCCAAAAGGTTGCTGATTTTTTGGACAGTTTTGCATGGTCATGAGGGTGTGATGATGATGAGCTTCGGGGAATGCGCAGTTTTTACATGAAAGCAGAAGATGACATCTGGATCCGCAGCCTCAAACCCACGCGGGATGTTGTGCGTAGTTGGGCGTCTTTGAGCCGTCACATGGGAAAATTCTGTCCGTAGGCTCCCGACAATGCCACCACACGGGCACCACCCATGAACTCAGCCCCGCAAAAGGACTCAGCTGAGGCTTACTTCCAAGCAGGCTTGCGCAATAGCTGAGTGGGTGGCGTAGGATATGACAACCAACAGGGCGCGTGGTAACAGATTTACGGACTAGGCTGAGGTCATCTGCCACATCCGAGGAGGGAGGAGGCCCATTGGCCCTGTAGAAAAATCGATAATGTTGTGCTACAGAGGCTGAATGCATAGCTCGAACGCTTTTGTTTCGGCGAGGCTTAACGGGTAGAACTCAAAACACTCGCCACGCTTTTCTAGAAGCTGAACTTGTGGTCAGCTCTTATTCAACGAGACAGATGGAGTCATGCTTCTAGCATAATCTCTATTATGCTCGATATTTAGGCGGAGACGTGCGGGTCCGAATTCGAATATGTTGTGGCAAGGCTGCGAAGCGATAAGTAACGCTGGATGACCCCACTTTCCGATCCCTGTAGCAGTCTTGCGATAATCAACAATGGCGTGCAATCACTAAGCCGCCACATTTGCGCTGGATGCAATCTCCATCATGCAATACTTTTTGAGGCTGTCCTACAGCCGCAGAGGGACTCAAGAGAGCAGATTAAAATACCCTTTCACCAGCCATCAAATGTCTTGTCCATCTCAAAGCATTTTCTCGAAACAGCTGACTTCTGATCAGCATTTCCGCCCCGAGACGCCCGGGATCTTCGTCAGCCTCGTTGCAATTTTCTGCAATACGCAGTTTTCCAATGGAAGCAACCGGTTCCAATATTGTCGCTCCTGGAAACAGCAAACCCTGGGCAGAATATGCCGTACTCACCTTCGGTAAGGTCAACACTGCCGAACTATGCCTATCCGACCGCAATGACTTACTACTGATTAGATGGCGGCGGTATCAGAGGCTACGCAAGCCTCCTGCTTTTGAGGGGGCTCATGAGAGCCATCGAGAGAAACGAACAAGACTATTCCGATTACCAGGACTCTAGCTTCCAACCAATATTCCAACCACAAAACACCCTCAACGGCAGTCCAGGCCTGCCACAACCAGATGATCGGCCGGTATGGCGAAGAGTGTCGACACTCGAACCGCCGCCCCGACGACGGTCGTTGGAGAGGGGCGAGAGTGGTGAGCAACATCTTCAAGGATTTTTGCCCTGTCATTACTTCGACTACATGTTTGGTACAAGCACTGGGGGGTAGGGCAATTCAGACCGGCTTGTTGGGTTTCGCTTGCTAACTGCTTGCCACAGCCTCAATGCAATCATGCTTGGAAGGTTACGAATGAGCATAGACGAGTGCATCAGTCACTACCCTGCATTGGTGAAGAAGATCTTCAGCAAACCCCGGGCAAAGATGATGGGCTTCAGAGACAGGTACAACCCAAAGCACCTTGAAGAGGCCATCCAAACCCTGGTTGCGGAGAAGTCACCGCGGCGGCCCGGAAGACATACAGAGCGTCGGTATGAACACTATCCGTCTCCGCCGGACATATGCAAAACGTAACTATACTCTTCAAGGACTGGGAAGCCCCGCTGATTGGAACTGCAGAGTTGTTATCGCGAAAGAAATATCTGCAGATGGTACGGTTGAGCGTCCTTACCGCTTCAGAACATACAACACGAGCTATTTGAAAGGAGGCCGCGACAATTCCGGACCGGCAGACGATTTTCCAATATGGAAGGTTGCTCGGGCGACATCTGCAGCACCAGGATATTTCAAGGAGATGAAGATCGACGGCCGTAAATACAGCGACGGCGCTGCAGGTTTCAATAATCCAGCGAGTCTGGCCATCAAAGAACTTTGGAAGACGGTCAGCGACCGCGACCCGTTCCCGATCGCGCTCCTCCTGAGTATTGGTACCGGGAAAGAAAAGGCCGATGAGGAGGATTGCAACACCCACAAGCACAGGGACTCGGGAAGCCGCAAGAAGAGAAAAGTGAGGGGAGTATTCGGATCCATGGCGCGAGCATCAATGAGGCCATTCATACAGCCCATTGGCAAAGCCAGAAACAGGCTGAGCCGTGCCAAATATGAGTTGACTGAGACGGAGAAGATACATGAAGACGTGGAATTTGAAATGTCAAAACAACGCCGTCCATACTACCGACTGAACGGAAATGAAGATGTGGGGGCTTTGGAGCTTGATGAGTGGAAGGAAGACACGCAGTCCAAGATCGAGAAGAGCATCGCCACTGAGCTCAGTAACCCAGAAACCAACCGTAAAATACAGGAATGCGCTGATTGCCTTGTAAAACTACGGCGGGCAAGGATTGCTAGTGATGCATGGTTGTGGACGCGGTTTACAACCTGTAGAACGATTCGTTGCGGCTTTTGCAGGGCAGCAACTGAACCAACGTTCCAGAAGATGAAAGACCACTTGAAGCAGAATCACAGCACAGTCGTTGATGGAATGAGGAAAGAGCAGATTTTTGTTCTTATAGAACAGGAATGCTTATTTGAAGATCCTGTTCTTGAAGGAGGGCCATATTAGAGTTCGGAATTTCATGGTTCACATATATCTTAACGAAACGTGCCGAAGCCTACCGCGCTGAACGTGTTCACACGTTTATTCCATTCTGAGCACCTCAAGCCTCGCCAGGAGTGGCCGTACCGTCCGAAACCTCCTTGTCTTCTCCCTTCCAGCCCTCCCCATCATTCTTGGGCACCCTCACAAACGCAAAGTCCATGATCAACGCAGCAACCGCCAGCGCCGCGCCAAAGTACAGGGCCGCACGATACCCCTGCACCTCGCTCGCGCCGTTCTTCAAGACCTGGACCTCGATGGTCCCGGAAAACCCCAACCCCAAACTAACGCCGTACAAGTTGAGGGTGCCGACCAGGCTGCCGGCGACGCCCTGATTGCGCCTCCCGACGCTGTTGCTCGCGATGATCTGGGCGGCGACGTAGGTGAAGTCCGGACACAGGCTGCCGAGCACGATGGCGGGAAAAGTCTGCTTCCAGTACGACTGCTGGGCGGGCTGAGTGGCGAGCAGCAGCGACGAGGCGAGGCACGAGACGATGCCGACGGCGAGGACCCAGCGCGCGCCGACGCGGGGGATCAGCCAGGCGGCGGCGGCGACGGCCACGGACGCGCCCGCGGCGAAGGGGATCCAGCCGACGGCGAGGTGCAGCGCCGACCACCCGCGCGTCACCTCCTGCCACGCCACCATGTACCACATGCTCATGCCGAAGGCCATGTAGGTGAGGAGCACGACGAGGATGAGGGCGGTGAAGGTGGGCGCGGCGAAGACGGAGAGCGGCATGATGGGCGAGGCGCCGGCGAACTTGGCTTCCCAGAGGAGGAAGCCGAGGATGGAGAGGATGGAGAGGATCAGGGTGGCGATGACGTACGGGGTTTGCCATCCGACTGATGGTGCTTGGCTGGGGTGGTGTGAGTAAGGGTTGAGGCGGCGGCAAGGGCAGAAGAAGGCGACTTACTTCCAGGAGAAGTTGAATAGTGCGAGACCGCTGACGCCGAGCGCGATGCCTACCCAGTCTACTTTTCCGCCCTTGTCGACGATGTCTTCGGTGGGGAGGACGAGGCACAGTCCCGCGAATACGACGGCTCCGATGATGGCGCTGGGAGAGGATGTCAACCAACCAGGTGCTTCGTCCCAGCCTCGGTCTTGCACAACTCACACGAGTACGAAGAAGTATTTCCATTCCGACTTCTCCAGGAAGGCTCCAGCGAGGAGCGCTCCGATCATGGCGCCAACCGGTGGAGAGGCTGCGAATGTGGCGAGGGTGATGTTGCGGACTTTGCCCGGTGGCACCATGATGGTGAGCAGCGCGACGGCGTTGGGCATCAGGATGCCGCCGCCTATGCCGGTCAGAGCACGAACGGCGATAAAGGACTCGTATGTGGGGCAGAAGGCGTTGACGAGGGAGAAGACGGCGATGATTGCGACTCCGAGCAACAGCATCAGTTTGTGACCGAAGACTGCACCAAGCCGTCCGCTGACCAGGACGAAAGAACTCTGCGTGAGCCTGGAAAGAAGTGGTGAGCAGGCAGTCGGCGGCCAGGGCAGATGGTGGACGACGCATCGGACGTACGGGTATGCTGCTGCCATCCAATTGGACTGTCCTGGTGCAGCGGGGTGCCCAAGCACTTCGCTGTATTTGAAGGCTGCCGCCATGGTCGAGAACATGGTGACGAACTGCAGAGCGTTATTCCTGCGGCTCAATCTGTGAGTTCTGACTGAGGGAATCGTACCTGTATCAGATTACCCGTCACAATGAGTGCGGTAATGGCCATTTGTTTGGTCTTGGTCAAGTTGACAGGAGCGTCGTGCGGTGCTCGTAAGGAGTAGTTGGTCGCTGCTGTGACCACCCGGTCGAGTTCTTCAAGGGCGGTACCGACCGGTTCGATACGAAGGGTCTCCACTTCTTCTTTGGTGTGCGCCATGACCGGAGCCATGTTCGCAGCTGGAGGTTGGCTCATTGTCGAAACCGCGTACGAGGTTGGTAGAGGACCAAAAAACAAAGCTGGGGAGATTATTTGAGCATGGGTTTACAAGAGCAGTGATTTATAGTAGCCCTCTCTCCTAATAATGACGCGGACGTGAACTGTCTGGTAAGGTTAAACAAGCGAGCAGCCGATCAAGCGAGAGCGATCAGCCCTTCTACACGCGGGTTGGCGAATAGCGGTTGGAGTTACCCCACATTGGCCTGCTTACTGGCGTGTTCAGTCCCGTTTGAATGGTTGAGGGTGCTACCTAAACGGGAAGTGGTGGGTGCGGCTGCGCGTAAGTCTACCGGATTGGGCAAGGTTTGCCGCCGCCTCTACCGTGTTAATTGTTAATCCTCCGCACCGAGCACCGAGATATCTGTACTCGCCCCTGATTAACGTGATCAGCATGGTGTGTTGTACAGGCTTGTTGGTGGTACGACCATCAGTGGTACAGTTCAGCTCCATCCTCCGCTTCTGCGTTGGGCCCATTCGACCCTACTAGAGGCACCGTGCAATAATATCGAGACTGTCCGGACTATCCCCAGAGGTTTCTTTGGCGGGGCGTTTATCAAGCTGTGGCAGATGCACTCGTGCCGCGCTACGGCTTGCCTGACGAAAAGCGGGGCGTTCTGGATTATAAATCTTGCAGCCTGCTGTCCTCGCCTCACTCGTGCTTTTCAGGCGTCTGCAAAGCTTGCATCTACCACCAACCGGACTTCTTTCCAAGCCCCGACTGCAAGTCAGCATCGTGAGCCGGTGCCCGCGAACACGCGTCTGCGCTCATCGTCCACTGCCTTTGCAATAATAATGCATCTTCCATCTTCTGAGACGACAACGCAAGGATATAGCAGCAGAAATGTTCTGTAGTAACCGGTTCAGGCCTAGTCCGTGGCTGCCATAACAATGTAGCGATCATCTCCCGCGCTGACGTCAGCTTGACCACAGCGTTGGCGTCACCGGGCTAAAAGCTGCTGGGCCCCGCCATCATCATCTACTTTTTGCTTTTCTAAGAGCGAAACACCACTTGCACCCCCGACCAGCCACAGTCAATCTCGATTGGCAATCGGGCAAAGGTATGCATGCACCAGTGACACGGGGAATGAAGTCGGAATCTGAACTGAATTCGATAGCCAAGTTGGCGCAGGTCCCACCCATCACGAGGACTCGGGCTTTTGGCCGTAGGTGACGTGGTAGATCCAGTAGACGTGGACCTCGGGATCCTTGAACTCCTTCCTGATCTTGCCCATCATCACCTGGACTTCCTCAGGCGTGTACTTCAGCACCCTGGTGAAGAGCGCCAAGCTGTACGCCTCAATGGCCTCGAGCACGTGAATCAGCGCATACTTGCCGATCTCCTTGAGCTTCCTGTCCTTTGCCCAGGGAGCCATCGGGACTTTGTATACGTCATCCTGCACGTTGGTGAATCCGGCATCGATCATCCACTGCTTCATATCCCGCGCCACATCCATGGGTTTCCCAAACGACTCGGCCGCCTTTGCACGACAGTCAGCACACGGCACCGGGCATCCTGATTCCAGGTGAAGGTCATGCATCTCTCACCTCGTTCAGCTTCTCGATGTAAAGCGCCACCGTCGGCGCCTTGGCAGGATACGACTCGTCGTCGCAGCCGTACTGGATCTCAAACTCCTGCAGCTCGATCCAGCCGCCGGGATTGATGCTGCGGAAAGCCTGGGCGAAAAGGCGGGGCCAGTCCTGGACGGAGCCGGCCATGGTGCGGCCGTGGACGAAGTCGTACGTCTCGCCGTCGGCCCAGTCGGCCTCGACGTCGTCGACGAGGAAGCGGCAGTTGGGCGGGACCCACGACGGCTGGATGGGGCTGAGGTCGGAGCCGACGACCTCGCAGGCGGGGAACTGGTCGGCCAGGTCCATGGCCCAGATGCCGGTGCCGGTGCCGAAGTCGAGCACCTTCTTGGGGGCGGTGACGGGGGCGCAGAAGAGCTTGCCTGCCTGGCTGTGAGCTTCCTCCTCCCCACGTGAGCCGACCGGGTTGATTACGCACCGCCGAGGATCAGGGCCGAGATGTGGTGGAAGAGGTCCATGCGGTCCTGCTCCTTGTCGTCGTTGGGGGCGAAGTAGGCGCCCTCGCGGAAGGCGTGGTAGCGCCGGCCGTTCTCATACTTGTAGTTCAAGACGCTGGACGTGACCGACGTCGACGTGCTCGACTGACTGGAGAAGGTGGAGTCGGCGTCGTTGAAGCCGTCCTGTTGAGTGGCGTAAGACGGAACCGGTTGCGGGCGGGTGGAACCAACGGCTTACTACGTACGTCGACTTCGAGGAAGGCATTTTCTGCCGCGAGCGCCATGTTGCAGAGCTGCTGTGTACACAGATGTCCATCCGCAGCAGCGGCACCGGCTCTTCTTCAAGGGCCCGCATGCGTGGCCAACCCCACTTGGCCACGAGTCAGGCCGATCGGTGCTCAGGCCGGAACAGCAACTCGGCCGATCAGCCAGCCAATCTTCAGGACCCGATGAAACACGGCACTTTGCGGCTCTCGAACCAACCTCTGACCCAAAAAGACGGAACTCGGTGCTCTCTTATGTCCGCCACTGTCATTGTTCTCAAGCTCCTGCACCCAGCCCTGGTCGTCGCCATCTCTCCATTGGGAAACGACTTGATGGAAAGAAGCCGAGGCTGGATTTGGAGTTGCTTTTAAAAGGGGCGGCCTCGGGCGGGACCAGAGTAACGGCCCGCGCCGTTTCATACGCCACCGTCCCGCCGCATCCCGTGCCGCCCGCCGCGCCTCTAGTGCTTTTCATGACACGAACTTCGGACCGTGGAAATCACTACACTAAACTACACACCACGAGAACAGTGGAATTCTCACCTCCGTCCACATTTTACCTCACCAGATCAGTATATATAGTGCCTCGTTCTGCTGATAGCATCTGAAGGGTTCGTAATATTCAATACCATAACCAAACCTAACATTTCTACGGGACAACTACAGGCGACTGAACACCAAACTGTGCATCCCGGCCCACCCGCCAATAATCGGGCAGTATTTGACAAGAATATCCCAATGCCATCCTTCCACATGGCTCATCCGTCCACTCAGCCTCCCTCGCCGCTTTTCGGTCCGCCGCAATACGCGACACAGCATCGATGTGGTCGCGATACTCTCGGACGTGCTTTCATGGCCCTCTGGGGCTTTCTTTCTCGATCACAGAGTTTCCGTCTTCGCTCGAATTTTTGCCACCAACCGCGCTCTTCCTTTGGACAAAGCCCCAGGTGGCTTTTGATGAGCAGAGCGGGGTTGTCAGCTTGGTGGCGGCGCCGCTGATGTATTCTTACAGGGGTAGTGTGGCCCGTTTTGATAACGACTGCAGTGGTGCGTGTGATTGGATAGACATGTTAGTACGTGACCCTGCACTCAACTGTCTTACAGAGAGCATCGAGTCATAGGTGAAGCCCCGCTATTCATGGAATTCCTTGCAGCCTGGCTACCAAACGAGATATTTAGCCTGATCTGCATCGGGTTATCGTTGCGTAAAACTTCACCTTGCCATCTCTTCACCGTTACGCAAACAAGGCTTACAAGCCACTGGCCATGTCTTCATCTGCGACAGCTCCCGAAGACTCACCCTACCACGGCCAAGATCTGGGTAGCGGAGAGATCCGCCTCCTCACCATCGTTCCGACGGAATCCGGCTTGGAACTCTCAACCAAACCGCACAAGGTCACCGAGGATCTGGAGTTCGATGCAATCTCGTACGTATGGGGCACAGCTCCTCCCACAGTCGCCGCAACATGCAACAGTAAACCCTTTCTCGTGACGCCGACTGCACACGAGATGCTTGCGCACCTGCACCACCACAGGCCGGTTCCGCACCGCCCGCTGTGGATCGACGCCATCTGCATCAATCAGAAGAATCTGGACGAGAAGGCTATCCAGATCCCCTTCATGCGCGACATCTATTCACGAGCGACCCAAGTCATCATCTGGATGGGACCCTCGACGCCCGGTACTGACGCCTTCCTGGCCGACTTTCCGCGGGTGTCCAAGATTGCCCGAGACTGGATATCCGCGGGAACTGACCCTCGTTCCTGGAAGGCGGAAAAGTGGCCGGGGCCGCATGATCCGTTCTGGACGGGATGCCACCAGCTGGTTCGGAATGTCTGGTTCCGGCGCCTGTGGACGTTCCAGGAGGTCATTCTCGCACGAAAGGGCATCGTCTTTTGCGGGTCGTCTTACGTCGACCTGGAAGAATTCATCGACTTCGTCATCAACGGCCATTTCGGGACGACGCCGTTCATTCCTCCAACTGAGGTCTCGGGGTCTCTGGAAGACGAGCATGTTGCATGGGAGGAGCTACGCACGATCCAACGGTACCGAGATATTGCGATCACGGATGCGAAACCCGTGGAAGCCATTGACGTCCCAGCGCTCCTGGAGAAGCTGCGTACTAGACGTGTGTTGGAGAAAGTGGATCGAGTCTGGGCTGTGACTGGGCTGTTCGAGGAAGGCGTGCAGAGTGAATTGGCTCCAAAGGTCGACTACAGCCTCGAGGCTCGAACCGACTTTTGGAAGACCTTCGTTCATTTCGCAAGGATCATCCTTGCAAAAGCAGGGCCGCTATGCCTGCTGTGTGTGCCTCCCTCGGTCGGACAGAGAAACGTTTCTCTGCCGTCATGGGTTCCAGACTTCTCGGGACAGTCAGCTTGCCATATGCTCATCACGGACTACTGGAACTATCCGGCCAGCCACTCCGGCCAGTTCCGCAATCTGCTCCTCTGCGAAGAAGAGGACGACTATAAGAAGTGTTACGAAAGGGTGTATGCAGTTCAAAAGCATAGTAAGCGGTACGTTTCCACTCCAGAAACGGACAACTTCCTGCACATTCGCGGCTTTTGCGTGGACACAATCTCGGAAGTGGTAGAAGACGCGCGGCTCCTCGGTGAGACCGATTTCAGATTGAACTCAGCCTGGGCGACCTACAGAGCCGAGAATTCTTCTTTCGTGGCTGCCATGAGCTGGGAGTCAAGAAGTCTGGCATTGGCACGCCGCGTCCTCCGCGGAGCTAATGATGAAGGCGCATCAAGTATCCCTTGGGACCACCTTATGGCTTTCTTCATGGAATCTCGCCTCGTTCAACAAACAGAGACGGCATATATTGACACAATGTCCGTTTTGAGGAGCGAAAATCCACCTGTCCAGTACGACGGCCTTGAATTTCCCAGGCGCACTCTTGCAGGTCAATGCATCAGCCACTTCAAAACCATAGCTGGTCATACTTTCTTCAGTACGAAAGGTGGACGCATTGGAATCGCTACTCCAGGATGCAAGCCCGGAGATAGGCTCTGCGTCCTCTACGGTGGGCACCCTTTGCATATTTTGCGTTGGCCGGGGTGCAGCGAGAGCGACAATGTCAGCCCTGGAGGTGCCGTTGTTGAGCTCATGGGTGTTGCGTATGCTCCTCATCTCATGCAGCAACATCAATCGGACGATTCCCGACTTGGAGAGGACGAGACTTACGTGATTGGCTGATCTGTCCTGATTTGTCTGTGTGAGACAGTAGCGGTGGGTGTTGGCATTTTTCATGATTGCTAATTTCATATTGGGTTATGCACGGCGACGGTCAAGATGAAGCTAAGAAGGTGTGCATGTGTGAATTATACACTCTGTTATTAGATATCTCTAATCTATTTATACATTCTCCCTTCATGTGGCGTCATGACTTCCGTACTAGCAAAAGAACAGTGTCCTGTCTCAGTCAAGGAACTCGTAGATGCCTCTCCCAACGATACCGGCTTTATCTCTCCCCACATGACTTTCTTCAGGGACGTGTTCTGCGGAAACCGAGGTGGATGGCAAGCCGCGGATATGGCTGCGCTCCAGAAACCGACGGGAGGCATGCCCGGTCTGTTCTTCACGAGTCCCAGGCCCAACAACGCCGCCATTATGAAGAACCACAACACAATCCCGGCAATTATGGCAATTGCAGAAAACCCCAGAGCCCTATACTCGTCAAATTGCTGGCCCTGGGCGAGGTAGTCGTATATCTGCACTCTGGATGCGAAGACACTTTGGGACACGATGTAGTGAACCGCAATGCTCGTGGCAATCTGTGGAACCGCGAGGCTGTAAGGCAGCTGGAGATAATAGGTGCTTCTCTGCTCACCCAATGCTCGGGTGACGCGTAACCCGGCTCGCTTATGCGCGAAGGATGCCCACTCGCGCGAGGAAGCCATACCGGACAGGACTCTGTTCACGAGCACGTAGGCGAAAGAAAGCACCAACTGCGGTATGTTGGCAACGATAACCAGGACTTCAATCCGACTTGATATGTTCGTGAGAGTTGAACTGATCCTCAGGGCACCAAACCCCATGGAGAATAACCCTTTCAGGGACATATCCTGGTCCGGATTGACCTTTGCGACGTGCCTCGTGGCAGTAACGCAAAGCACTATTGTGGCCAACAAGACGCAGATCATTCTGTGAGCTTTTCTTAGCTTGAGCTCCAAAGGGTGTGGATTCTGTTCTTTCTTACATGCTAAACGTCCTGACCCATTGCCCAAATGACACTGTTCTGAACCACCGGACTGGGTATCCATTTGGGGTATACCGCCTCTTCTGACATGTCCAAGTAGATGCTCCATCCGTGTTTCTTTTGGAACAAAAGACTTTGTGGTCGGCAAGGCACATTCCTCTCGTTGTTGGATCCGGCTCATCCATGAACGATGCAATGGCGTCGCCCAGAGTAATAAGCGCCGACTCGTCGAAGAAGTTGAGCAACACAAGCATCGCAACGAGTTTTGCGGCATTTGCTGAGATGACGATGATGAGCAGCGTGTGATGGAAGTTGAGCTCACATAGGCCGGCAGCGCGTTCACACAAACAATACTTGACCCTGTCCCCGTCCAGCGACCAACTGACGGCAGATTCTTGAAGATTTTGGTTGCTGCAAAATCCTGTAGAGTTGGCTCTCGTCCCATCGCAGATCCAAGAATAAGGCTGAATGTCCCGGGGCGATGATGTTCGTGTCGATAGAACAGTGTTGCTCTCAGCTGTATCGAGAACTACAAACAAGTTGCGGTATGTGTTTTGGAATGGCTTGCTGTACGCCTCGACACATTGGCGGATTGGCAACATTTCGGGCTGGCTCCTATTGAGTGAGCTTATCGCTTGTAGCTCTTGATCAGACAGCCATTCCTGAGACGAGGCTCTGACGGTAGTCATGTTCTCAATCCGAGTCGTCAGAGTGAATGGCGCCTTTGTGACATTGATCTGCATTGCTCCGGTGAAAAAGACGGGGGACACGGTCGTGACCAAATACATATTTGCCCCTCTTGAAGTAAAGACCACGGCATTGTAACTTGAGTTTATTAGCTCAACCACTCCACATCAGGAGATCCAAAAAGCTTACAGTAGGTGTAGAGGGATGGAAGAGAGACCCAAGATAATCCACAACAATGCACGTCGTTTGCTAACGTATCGAAGGTTTCTAATGGATTGAGCGCCAATTTGAACCGAGGTTCCAGTCTCGTGAGCTCTCTAGACCTCTTCCCGCGTCGGAGCAGCAAGTACCTACATAGTATAGTTATTGGCTGCTAACATCAATGTACTCAGAACATTGATGGCCAGATGTGCGAAAAGCGCCAAGCGGTCAGCTTTACTGCAGTTTCCCCGGTACAGTGTACCAAGACCATCAACCATGCCGCGGCTATCGGGAGCCCAAAGGAGAAACACAACGTTGAGCAGAAGCACGAGAGCGACAATCCCAGTGTTGAGTGTGACCCCACTTCTCCATCCCGAAAATCCGTGTTCATGCGTCCCATCTTCTTTCGACGTCTTGTTCCTTGAATAGCAATTCAAGAGGACTTTGACAGCGCTACCCAAAGATTTGTTTTGCCTACGCCCTTGCGGATCAATGGTTCTGTGCGATTGTCAGGTATCAGATCCTATGGTTAACGGGAGGGCACGGGCTTCCAATTACTCCTCGTATGGTAACAATGCAGTCCTGGCCTGTTGTGTTTGAATGTCGCAATTTTGAGGGAAACCATCGTGATTGCCATGCTTCGGAACAGGGGTTGCAAGTGGTAAAAGTGGAAAGCTGTCTTCTTGTGTCTCGGTTTGGTGAGTTTGTTGGAAATGCCTTCTTTTGTACCGCGTTGGAACAGCTGTCCGAACTGGTAGAGGTGCATTTCTCTCCTCGGATGTGTTGACGCGGTGATCGTGCTGGAATGTCCTTCTTTTGTATTGTCTTGGAACGAATGCCATCCTCGCAACGTAGGATTTAAATCTTCCACCCCAGAGCTCGGCAGCAAGCGGGGCTAAGTAAGAGAAATAGGCGGTGGTACCATGTCTTACTAGCTTGTCTGTGTCTGTCAGCATTGCATGTCTCGATAAATTCAATTTGCGGCTGAGATGCACATTTCAGCTTTTATTTATAGAACAAGGGTCACCGGTGGCGATGAAAGGCTTTATTAAGCTTGGGGTCCGAATGCAAGGCTGCTGCACAGTTCGGGATCTCACTGGTGGGAAATCGTGTGCAACGGCTTTGGTACCCAGCCACCGAGACCAACAGAATATGCGTCCATAATTCCGGACAGAAAGCAAGGTCATCGGTAGCTAAATTCCCGCACAAAACCTTCACCCACCACCATCAATCATCACCCACCGCATAGATCTCCTGCAACATCGCATCCACAAACCCCCTCTGCCCTACCAACCACTTCCTGGTGTCCTCAATATCGAACGGGCGCTTGGCCACCTCGCGACGACGCTCCATCCGCAGCCGCTCCCGGATGCGCTCCTCGAGGATTTGCAGCCTGTATTCGGTGTACTGCGTATAGATAGCAGACAAATCGCTGATGCCGCGCACGCCAGTAAGGATGGTTTCATCTTTAACGTGCGGGCTCTTCGCGCGGAGTGAGGTGACCATTGTGATGCGCTCGCGGCCGCCGAAGGCCTTGAGGGCCTGGTGTTCGATGTAGCGGCCCTGGAGGACGACGGCGCTGCCCTATTGTGGATGGGTCAGTGGTTCAATATGCTGATGACGCAACGACCGGTGGCGTACCATGACGGGGCCGCGGACCTTCATGACGTCTCCGGTGGCAGTCCGCAGGGCCGTCTCGCCTCCCACCATGTCGGTGCAGTCGGACAGCATGGTGACGCAGACGAAGGGGTAGCTGTCGTAGTGCCATGCTACCGCCGACACGTCATCGCCGACGAACTGCTGCTTCTCGGCCTCGGCCAGGTCGACGGTGGTGTCGCCGGTGGAGATGTTGATGTTGGCGATGTCGAAGTCCAGGGCTGGGACGAGCTCGATGCCCGCGACTTGCGAGATCTTGGAAAGCACTTCTGGCGAACTCCACGCGTCGTGAATGAACGGGGCACGCCTGTGAGTGAGAGAAGTTGGCACATGGTGGTTTTGTGATGTAACGAGTGCTCACTTACTCGGGACCCATGCCGCGGATCATGTTCTTGTTGAAGGTCGACGCGTACTGGCATTGCTCTATCGACGCGTCGCTGAAGATCTCAGCCCGCATCTGGCGAATCGCCTCTCCGCTGAAGAGGGGGAAGGGCTCCGAGACGGCGTTGGGCGAAATGCCGCTTCCCCTGAGGCCAATTTCCTCCATGGTGTAGATCTTCTCGGGTGCCTGGAAGACGAGGTGCTTCTCGGCATCAAAGGGAGCCTTCTCCTCAACACGAGAGCCATCGATCAAGGACTGAGGCAGCTTGTTGGTGGGACGAGTAGCTCGCTTTGTTGTTGGACCAGTGACCTTTGGCGGAGTAGGTGCTGGAGTGAGGACGTCTTCATAGATGGCACTGGGCATTTTGAGGGTCTTGGAGTATCAAAAGGTAGGATGGGCCGTCTATGATTGGGATTAAGAAGCTCTCTAATGAGGTTTGAATGAAGCCGTGGAGACACCATCATTAAATATATCAATAGGTCCTCGTATGGAGATGGATGCCGGATCTGGCTCTGGACGGATTTTCCTCCACTCTCGAGCCACACGAAGCTCCCGTCTGCGCTATGCGATAAGGCCCCATAGCCCGCGTATCTACCCACCCAAGATTAGGATTGAATGAAGCAGATAGCAGGTTGAACCATCGTGAACACACCCCACTACCAAGGTTAGCAATTGCACACAGTGAATCGTAGAATTTCTTCAAAGGGTTATGGAGTCCAGGCAGTCGAGATATCCGAGACATGATAGGAAATCTCGGGGTATGCTGCAGGCCGAAAGCCACGACCGAAGCTTCGGATCCCTGCTAGCTTTGCGGTATGCCACATCCACTTTGGGATAGCCAGACTGCATGCAGCCGATCATGGGATCATGCTGATAAGCCCCGACTTGGGGCAACGTTTCCCGGTCTGCCAATCAGCCACCACTGCCTCCGCAACGGCCAACGCTTATTTCACGGGACTCCAGACCCCGAGTTTGAGCTTGTCTGCAACTCAACAATATTTCCTGCCACGCGTAATCGAAAGTAATCATGGCCGTCGGAATCCCCCCACCGCCTCGGCCAATCTCCCCGTCTCACAAACCACCAGCAACCATCGCCTCCGTCCCGGCCGACGCTCCCCTCTCCACTCTCCTCGACATCCTCGACCGCGACGGCGGCGTCATCCTGACCGACCTCGTCAGCGCCGAAGACCTCGCCGCCATCGACGCCGACGTCGAGCACCACCGGTCGCAGGCGCCCCCAACCGAAGGCAGCGCGCTGCACATCATCCCCAAAGAGACGCTGGCCATCCCCGGGCTCGTCGGCAAGTCGCCGACCGTCGCCAAGCTGTGCGAGCTTCCCGTGCTCGAGGACCTGCGGCGCGCGATCCTGCGCGAGACGTTCAGCGTGATCCGCGAGGAGGTGGTGGAGACGAACGCCATCGACGCGCTGCTGAGCATCAGCGTGACGCTGCACATCGGGCACGGCGCGCCGCGGCAGCGGCTGCACCGCGACGACAACGTGCACGGGATCCGGCACGGCGGCGGCGGGGAGTTCGATTTGAGGAAGGCGAGCCAGTTCGGGTGTCTGATCGCGGGGACGCGGACGACGCGGGAGAATGGCGCGACTATGTTTGTGCCGGGTTCGCACAGGTGGGATGACGAGCGGGTGCCGCAGACGGCTGAGGTTTGCTTTGCTGGTGAGTAGGTCGCCGGGTTCCACCGTTTCGCGGTGGTTCGTTGTCCGTTTCTTTGGGTGAACGGGGTGGCGGGAACACACTGCTCACGCGAAAGCATCAGAAATGCAACCCGGGTCAGCTCTCATCTTCCTGGCTTCCTGCTATCATGGCGGCGGCTACAACTCGGTCCCGGGCGAGGTTCGCAAGGTGCACGGTTTGTTTTTCATCAGGGGGACGCTGCGTACCGAGGAGAACCAATTTCTTGCGGTGCCACGGAGCAAGCTGGCGGGTATGAGCGACAAGATGCTCTCACTACTTGGGTATAAGAAGCCGGACACCGTGTTGGGTATCGTTGAGAATGATGATCCGATGAGGGATCTTAAGGGAGTTCTTGCAAAGGCAAATGCATAGCTTAGACCATAGGAAGTACCAGCAGCATTGACCTGGTTACGTTTGTTTGTACCCGCGTACGTCATCAATATTTGTTACTCTTGTTGATAAGAATCAGCTTCATTGTGACATTTGTGTATCTGCGGGCATCCTTTTGGCATGTGGAATTGCTGCTTTTTTTTTTTTTGACCTGAAAGTTAAACACCGTGTCTTCTCTACAAAAGTCCAGAGGTCATGGCATGGTCGCTTGACCTGGTTGTTGAACCTGCACAGGTGGAACCTTCTTTGGAGAATAAGCAATTTCAAAGCACGCCCATCACACGATTGGGATTGCTTCGATTCCAGGAAAGTTGTAAACGTTCTGGTTGCGAGAAAAAGGCTTTGTTACATAAGTCATAACAGAGCCAGAGTGTACCCGGACAAGGTTTGCTTTGTCGGCCATGACTACTGAACAAAACACACGGACAGCCACTGCTACAGCTCATCAAAGACACCGCAGAAAGGGACAAGTGCCATGAAGACCAATACTGAACCCAGCTGTGTATATTAACACAGCTTTTCGAGGATGCTTCCGGTATCACAACAGCATCCTCGACCTGTAGCTTTCTCGACCATCGCCAAGGTCCATCGATAGTGCAAGGGAAGTGAATTGCCAAAAAGAGAGCCGAAGCAGGTTCTGCACATCCTCATTCCACGGCTTAACGCAGCACACAGGAGGTACAACTTCAAGAAAATGCCACCGGCCAAGCAATCTTTGGAAGATGCACTTGTAGAACTGGGGGAGGACGTCAGATCCTACGGTACGTGACATCATTTCAATTACCAACGAAGCTCTGACCGGATAAAGATTCCTGTATGAGGGCAACGGAGCACCACAAAGTGTGGGCCGAAGACACAGGTGACCATTCAGCCACAATCAACAGGACACTGAAGGAGCTGAGGTGGTCACAATTAATAATCGACGGCACAATCAATCAGGCCATCTTCGGCGGAGTGGCGCAAGCCCAACAGTACAACGCCACCCTCTTCTTGATAGTGGACGATCTTCGGTTCAGGGACTGGTTCCGAGGCTATGGCTCGAGCGCCTTCACCATCTGGTCCAAGAATGAGCAGCTCTGGACTCCTTTGAGCTATATGTTGGCACTAATGGCCAAGAAAATGCCCGTCATGCTCTACGATGTCAATCCGATAATATGCGTTTGTAGATCATTTGACAGAGGACATTCCTGGTTCAGGGAGATGACAAGATCGATCATCTCCCAGCTGATCATGCAGAATGTCGACAACAACAGCCTGGTGCCGAGCTTTCATCAGGGCTTATGGGATATCATCCGCGCCAACAACAGGCATACGCGTGGCCTTTGCAACGTCTTCGAGGGTCTTGTCCCGAAATTGCGTGCCGGTACCATTGTGTGCATCGTCGATAGTGTTGACTTTGTCGTGCGGAATTATCAGGGTTGCGCCCAAGAAATCATGGCGATGCTCAACCGGCTCGTGCTACGGGTGGAAGAGATGAGACGGGCAGGACAAACCACCCTCAGCTTCAAGGTGTTGGTGACAAGCTATGGAAGCAGTGTAGATCCCGCATCCTTCTTCCCAGACCAACATCATCTGGAGATTGTAGAACGGCCGGAGCAGCTCCCGATTGAGTCCAAGTTCGCCCTTCATTACTATTAGAGCTTGGTGGGTCTTTTTCGATTGAAGGGGTCCGATTGTCTATTTCTCTTGTTGCCACTCTTGGTTTCTTATTGGGTTCGGATAGGGGCGGTCGTATGACATAGATTCTGGTTATATTGGCCGATTGGAAAACATAACCGAGATTCGGTGGGGGAGGAAGCTTGAAACTGGCTTTCACTTTACTTGCTATGGGCAAGGTCAATGCTGTGATTTACCTTCACCCATGCGGACCAAACAATCAGCTTATTATTTGGTCCAAGCCTCATGGTATCAGATTTCAGTAGACAGATTGTATATATTGGAAACGGCCAACAGCAAACATTATTGCTTCCAGATCTTCGGATGCATGGACCTGTCTATCGACCCAGTCTCTGAATAACAACCCAAATTATTTCCGCAGAAAAGAGCGACCAAGTACAAACCCCCCAACCCACCCCCCCTCTCTCTCCTCCCCCCAAGATACATCCCCATCTTACCGTTTCACCGGCTTCAACTTGACCATCAGCGAAGGCTTCTCCCACACAAGATAAATCTTCTGATCCAACCAGCTCTCCATGCCATCGGCAAGTTCCACGTCGAAATTCCACAAGATTTTCGCCAAGATCAACCGCATCTCGACATACGCAAGACTACGAGCCACACGTCAGCAAACAGGAGCGACCGAAAAAAAAAGAAAGGAAAGAAAAAGAAAAAGAAAAGGGTGCAAACTCACTTCCTGCCGATACAGTTCCTGGGGCCAAACGAAAACGGCTGCAGGGCGTCCCTGCGATCGCCGTCCCACTTGGGCTCGCCGGACTCCAAGAAGCGCTCGGGGGCAAAGACTTCGGGGTCGGCAAAGTTGGTCTTGGAGTGGTTCTGGGCGTACTGGTGGATGCCGACGACGGTGTTGCCGGGGACCCACTTGCCGGCGATGGTGGCGCCCTGGGGCGGGGTGACGCGCGAGAGGTTGTTGGCGGCGGGCGGGTACATGCGGAGGGCCTCGTCGAAGAAGGCGAGCAGGTACTTGCAGTCGCTGGTGCTGGCCATGGTGATGTCGTCCTGCGACTGGTGGCGCTCGCGGATCTCGGCGGTGAGGCGGGCGTAGACGCGCGGGTTGGTGAGGAGGTGGAAGGTGCCGCCGGAGAGGAGGGTGGCCGTGGTTTCGGAGCCGGCGATGACGAGGATGGGCGTCTGGGCGAGGACGTCGGGCATGGTGATCTTGTTCGACTTGGTGGCGGCGAGGAGGTGGGTCATGAAGTCGGTGTATTCCGGCTCGGGCCCGTTTGCGCGGCGGAGGGCGAGCTCGTCGGTCATGCGGTAGAGGTTGAGGCGCTGTTGGCGGACGCGGGCGGGGATGAAGTTCTGGAGCAAGGCGGCGAGCTGGGGGGAGACGCGCTTCAGGGCGGCCATCATGGTGCTGAACTTGATGACGGAAAACATGAATGCGACCCACGGATGATACTCGGCGTTCTGGAGGCAGCCAAACGACTCGGCGAAGGCGAGGTGGCCAATGATATCGAAGGTGGTGAACTAGACGCGTCAGTGAGTGTGCTTCGGGGCGGTGCAGATTGGTTGCGGCTCACGTTGTACCAGCGCACGATGTCGGTTCCCTTGGGGTCATCCGCCTTGGCTACTTCACGCAGCCGCTCGATCAAGAGATCAATGTAGGAACGGATCACGGGCTCCTGATCCTTCATCGACTTCTCGGAAAAGGAGTGGGATAGCAGCCTGCGGAGCGTCGAATGGTGCGCCTTCTCGGCATTGATGATGGTCGGGCTCTGTCCTTCTGGCTCATTGTCTCGGCTGGGATGCTTTTTGTTTTCCTCTACACCGTTGCGGTGGCCGTAGATATCCTTCCATGCCTCGGGGTTGATGTAGATCAATTCATCCGGCGCGATTCTAACCACTGGCCCGTACTTTTGATGCAGGTCATGGACCTTGTAGGAGACGGTGCCCTTGTACGCACAGTACTGAGACCAGAAGATGGTCGCTTTGGCATACCATGGACCTGGATACGACCGAAGGGGGTGAAGGAAGAGGTTGTAGAAGATTCTGAACAGCGCGAGGAAAAGTCCCTGGTAGTTGGTCAGCAACAGTGATTCTGAAACGGCTGAGTGCAGCTCACAAGACCGCCGGCAATAAGCAGGGCTGGAAGCATGATTGGAAATGCGCTGGAGTGTTGAGATTGGCAGCAGTGTGTCCGCACTTGGCTGTCAACGGCTTTTTGGCGCGAGCAGACACAGTAGATATATACCATCCCAACATTTGGGTGTTACAGACGTGTGGACGGAACAATAAGTGATCGGCAAGGCATGTCTCGGGTTCGGAACGGGTCCTTGGGTAAGCCGATGACCCATAGCCGGCCGACGGATCTTCACCCTGCCGCTGCGTCTCATACATGGGCCACTCTTGACCCCGCCGAATCACTGCGGAGCAAATCGGCGGACGCGCAGCACTGTGGAGAAGCCCGTGTTTCAGGTTTCAAGGAAGAAGGGTAGCCGCAGCTCGTAAGTAATACGAGTTTTGCCGCTTGGCAACGGTGATTGCCGCTTGGCAACGGTGGTCTAATCTTGATTCTCGCCGATAAAGTGCCCATCCCCCGCGTTGAAAATGCAGTCGAGCTTCTCATCAGTGTTGGGTGACCTGTATCATTGCATCGGAACTGCGAACAGCCGCTCAGAGAACGAGTCAGTGAAACACGAATGGCTGCGCGCCTTAGGCCGTCGCTTCCCAAAAAAGGAAAAGAAAAGGGCCCCACAGGTCCGCAGTTGGGCGAAACGGACGAGCCGGTCTCTTCATCGGTATCTGGAGTACGCGAAGGATCCGGATTCGCATGTACCCGAACAGCTAATTTCAACATCAGACAACAGACATCGCGGTTGCTGCATTACCAGACCCTCGGTCTTTTGGTCGACAAAATGTACATGTATCGAGGCCAACTCATGGTAAAGATTGGCTCGGAAGCGAAGGCAACAGTTGAGTGTTCAAAAGGTCATTCAATCGTTGACCCCGCAGTATCAGAGTGTGCCAATCAGAACTCCATTCGTCCCCGCATAGGCACCTGACATTATCATACATTGCCATGTGAATTCATCACCCACATGACTTACCTCTCCGAAGCCACAACCACACGGCAAAACTGCCGCCGAAACATCCATCATCTTCCCCTCCTGTCCCACCGATAGCGCTTGCAGCCACGGATGGGACGGATCCGAGACATCCAAGACGGCCAGTCTCTGCCTCGCTTGGACGCGACGCCTACTCCTTAATCCCGGCCTCGAATGGGCCGTGGAACGAATCGCTGCAGCTTCATCACATTGTGCGCACGAGGACCCCGGCGCTGCGCTCTGGGATGGTTGCGTCGATGCCCGTGCCGACGACTGTTCATTGCAGGATGAGCCGGGGCGGAAGAAGCCGGGGCGGGGCAACCAGTAGGGGTGGAAGAAGGAGGGAGGGGGTGGCTCGAGGGGGACGAGGACGGTGCCGAGGGCGGGTGCGATGTGTTAGACGTTGTGGAGTTGCGACAGCACCGTCGCGGTCTAGACGTATGTGGCGGTTCTGTCTTTGCCGAATATAAAAGCTACTGCATCTACCCTTGCGCCATATTGAGTCAGTTCAGGAACTCCTATTCGCCCATTACCTAGCACCCGATGCTCTCAACGGATGGGCTGGGCACTGTAGTAGAGCGGGTCTCGAAGCAGCACCCGTAGTAAGGCTGCACTCTACTCTTTGTAGTAAATGCCTGGGCTAGACGTAGCGAGGTATTCTCTCGTGTTTAGCCCTGACGCACCATCTTATGGTGTTGAAACAGGGGTATACAGCCTAGCCCCAACCATTCATGCTGTTATACTGGGCTTGGCCGAGAGGAGATAGAACGCTCAGCGCACAACAGAAGACAGTCTCATGACTTGGCCTTGATCCTGTTGAATTAGAGTGAAGACTTCGTGAGGTGATATATCAACCTTTGTCGACGGAGCTCTTGTATCGCGAGATCCTTCCAAGGTCCAATTGCACAAGGGTCTCACCCGGCGAATCTTCAACACCGCGAGTTAATCCGGCTTTTACGACATCCAAGCGCTCTTAAGACAAGACCTACTTCCAAACGCATCTCCTATATATATATATCTCTAGTTCTCAATGTCCATACATGTCTACCTCCAAGTTTTACTCATGAACCCTCATGTTGACTTTTTCTCCGCCGATGCGCTAAAACTGCGATGGAAATGAGAACCAGTGAAAAGAGACGTTGCAAGGAGGAGAACCTTAATCGAACCGAGTGAGCTACATGGCCTAGTGGCACGGCGCTCAGCAGAAAGAGGTCTAGGGTCTTCTTTAGCTCAAGCATGCCAGGTGGTTCGGGTTTTCTCAACGTAGCCCCGGACGTCTTCGTCCACACACTAGTATTACATCTACCCCCTTCTTCAGCCAACAGTCGCTCTTCCGCCAATTTGTTTGCGTTTCTCGCCTTGTCTAGGCCAGTTGCCAGCTCATGCGGGCCACCACCAGTCAACGGAGCCCCCATATATTGCGACTTTCGCCCCTGCCGACTGCTTCGTGGATGATGGATACCGAAGAAGTTTCCTGCGCTTTGCGTAGTGCAAAATGATGCAGTTGGTCAGCAAGATCAGAAATCTCTTAAATGGGGGGTAAGAAGCTACATGTCAGTGGTGGCTCGGAAGATTTCGGCTTCGTCGACCTGAGCGACGCGAGCATTCCAAACACGCTTCGAAGCCTTCCGTTAATGACTCTTCAAGATGACGAGATGTACAAGGACTGCGATGTTGTAGAAGCAGATCTCATCTTAATAGGTGGTGATATAGTAGAGGGCGCGGGAACGCTTCCAGTCTGCGAGGCAATGGCCGAATGCTTGACTTAGTTGCGGTAAGCTGGGTGGACAGTATGGCATTAAGAGAAGGACCTCTCCACATAACGGACGAGGGCTGGGATGGAGCATTAAACCAGTGTAGAGTGTAGGTGGTGGGAACGTTTGCAATGATGTCAGTAGGGATTGCTTTTTCCCCTGCGCCACTCTTGTACGACGGTCTTTCACGAGGTGTTTCAAGAGAGCGCCGCATGACAAGGAACCTCCAACAGACAAGTAGGTAGAGCGCTCTACCGCCATTTTGTCGAGAGACACGCTATTTTTTGGCGGCTGACGTAAAATGACCGAGTAAGCGCTACAGGACTGGCGCAAGGCCCAAGACGGAAATCAGCTACCAACCAAGTCGCAGCAAGCAACGTCTTACAGGAGCCGCCTGCGCTCTAGTGGAGGCACGTGAAGCCATGCTCGTCAGTGGCGGCCGGTAGTGCGACTTCAGAGTAAGCCTACACAGCCCAAACTATCGACAAGCATCGGACATGCGGAGACGACCCGGGATGGAAACGGGAGATTGATGGCTTTTCCGGAAGCTGTCTACATGGGTCCTCTCTTTTTTTTTTTATTTACTGTATACAAATACATGACCAGCAGCCAACAGCTGGTTCCCCCGTTCTGGTAGGGACCGCTTTAGCCTGATTGCCGATCTCTGCAGTGATTTTTAGACGCTGGAGTAAGGGATGCAGCTGTGGCTGAGAATCCACCACCGCCGACCCGCGCACCTTCAACCAGCTCACGCGGCCCGCCAACGGCCTCGTCGCCGCGGGCGCCGGGACCGGGTTCGTGCTCGGGGGCTACACGTCCGCGAAGACGGACCCGTCGACGCCGCACGCGGCGGACACGCCCGTCCCGGGGCTCGTGTCGTCGTTCGACTGGGCGACGGGGGGCGTGGGCGAACGCGTCGGCGGAAGCGTTCACGACGTACGGGACGGCGGTGTCGGGGCAGATGGCGTTCGTGCCGGGGTTTGGGGAGGGAGAGGGCGAGGGCGTGCTGGTGATGCTGGGCGGCGAGAGCACGACGCGCGAGGCGTGGGACGAGGGGAGCGGGCAGCTGCCGTTTGGAGAACGTGACGGTGTATGACGTCCGGACGGGGCAGTGGTTCGCGCAGGCGACGACGGGGGACGCGCCGGCGGTAAGGGAGCTGTTTTGCGTGGCGGGGGCGGCGGGGCGGAACGGGACGTATGAGATGTGAGTGGATGTGTATATGCTGGTGTAGAGATTCCGTCGGGCTTGAAGTCATCGCTGACGGCTGGTCACTTGGGGCAGATTCGTCATGGGCGGGTGGGACGCGTTCCGCACGACGTGCTACGACGACGCGTACATCCTCTCCCTGCCCGGGTTCCACTGGTTCAAGGCGCCGGACATGTCGGGCGGGCCGCGGGCCTTCCACACGTGCAACGTCGTCGGCAACCGGCAGATGGTGGTCGTCGGCGGCGTCAACTACTACAACCTCGGCGTCCCGGGAGACTGGAAGGATCCCGACCCGTGGAGCCAGGGCATCGGCGTCTTCGACATGACGCAGCTGAGCTGGAGCGCGGGCTATGACGCCGGCGCCGCGGCGTACGAGTCCCCGGACAAGGTGAAGGCGTGGTACGATCAGGGGAATGGGAACCAGGTGGCGTGGACGGATGATAAAGTCAAGGCGCTGTTCACGTCGAAGAGCGGCAATGGAGGATCAAGCGGGACTGGGAGCGGTGGGAAGAGTTCCAAGTCCTCGCCCAACCACACCGGCGCCATCGTGGGTGGTGTGGTGGGCGGTGTCGCTGGCCTGGCACTGATTGCCGGCGCTGCGTGGTTCCTGATGCGGAGGAAGAAGAGCAATGCTGCTGCGGCGGGAACGGGAGCCGAGAAGGCGAATGCCAATGGGCGAGGCGAATACGCGTACCAGCAAGCACCGCCTTACGAGGGGCCGGCTGAGGTGGCTGGAGAAGGGATGCAGCCGAGTCCGAAGAGGATGTCCGAGCTGCCGGCCGGCGGCGGTCACGAAGTGCACGAGTTGGCCGGCACAGAGGGAGCAAGAAAGTAACGAACAGCAAAGTAATACGTAATGAACTATCAAACGAGCGTCTTCAACCACCCCTCTACTTCCTCACATACCTCTCCCTCCACGCCCTCATCTCCACCCACGCGGCCTCGCCCGTCTCGGCATCCACCCCGACCCACACATCATCCAGCATCCGGTTCGCCACCTGCGCCGGATTCGCCGTCAACCAGCTCAAGCACGCGCTCTCCACCGGCCCGCCAAAATCCGCATTCGGCAGCGCCTCGATCACCGCCCGGAACGCCCGCACCACCACCCCCTCCCCGTCCCCCGCCGCCGCCTCCATCCGCGCCGGATACAGCGTCACGCCCGTCCCGCCCACCGCGCCCACCAGATTCGCCGCCGTCAGCGCCCCCAGCACATCCACCCCATTCGCCACCCACTCCCTCACCACCAGCCCCGGCTGCCCCTCCACCACCTCCAGCCTCAGCGTGCCGTTTCCACCAGCCTGCTGTTGCACATACACCCCGCCATACGCCCGCCCCGCCTCCTCCCGCGCCGCGGCCTCGAACCCGCGCACGAACGCGCGCGCCGCCACGTCGGCGAGGCAGAAGACGGGCGCGCCGCTCGCCGCGCCCGCGCCCAGCACCGCCGCGCCCCACCCGCGCGCCGGGTCGAGCACGACGGACGCGGAGTAGGCGCCGACGTTGCCGGTTTTGGTGTAGAGGTCGGCGCGGATGGCGCCGGCGTCGGTGGTGCTGCTGTCGTTGGTGGACGTCAGCGGGATGCGGGTGTAGGAGATTTCCCACGGGGCGCCGACGGCGTGCGTGTCGTCCGAGGTGCGGGAGTGGGGTTTGAGCCAGCGGCGGGTGAGGGATGGGCGGAGGAGGGTGGAGCGCAGGATGGAGCGGCCGATGAGGGTGAGGTCGGCGGCGGTCGAGTAGATGCTGCCGGCGCTGTTTGGGGTGGATGGTTAGTAACTTTGGGGGGGGAGCAGGAAGGAGAAGAGGTTGTTTACGTACGGGTTTTCGCCGCCGAGGTCGAGGCCTGTCGGGAGAGTGTCAGCGGTACTGTCGTCTTCGTCGTGGTTTGGAACTGTGCTTACCCCACCATGCTGTCGTCTTGCCGCCGGGAATCACGCCGTGGCTGTCGTTCGTGGGCGTCGTCACGGTCGTTGCGGAAAGGCCTAGTGCGTCGGCGATCTGGCGGTTGAACGTCTCCTCGAACGGCTCGCCCGTCATCTTCTCCATGGCGTGGCCGAGCAGCCGGAAGCCCGCGTTGGAGTAGGTGGGCGTCTCAAACGGAGGGAAATAGGGGCCGAGCTGGTTCAGGCCGCGGATGAATTCTGCCCGCCGCCATCAGATGTCCGTCTCGCTTCATCGCGCAGGGGACTCGACTTACCCTCACGGCTGCACAGTGGCAGGTCCGGTGAGAATCCCGGGGCCGGCAGTCCGCATGCCGGGATATCTTCCGATGGCAATTTTGAGCTGTTGACCCCCAGCAGGGGCAGTTGGCTGCCGTTTGCCTGGGTTGTGTAGTCGGGCCAACCGTCTGATGCCAGGTCAGACTATCGTCTCTCCATCACGCAGAGCAGCAAAAGCACTTACAGTCCCTCGGCAAACCAGCAATCTGCGACGCCAACGCTCCGACGGTGATGTCCTCCCACTGGATCCGCTCCAGCTCGCTCTCGCCGCCGTCCACTCCGTCGAACAAGTCCGACAGGAACTCCGTCACCGGCGTCCCGAAATCGGCGTCCCCCCTCGCCGCCAGCAGCGCGTACACGGTCAGCATCTTGGTCACGCTGCCGATGCGGTACACGCTGTCGTTGTCCAGCGGCCGCCCCCCGGTCGCATTGGACATGCCCGGGACCGCGTAGTGGTAGTCGAAGAACGGGGCGTCGTCCCCGTCGGCGGCGGAGAAGACGGCGACGGAGAAGAAGGTTCCGTTCAGCTGGACCAGGCCGCCGGCGCCGCCCGATTGCAGCTCGGCGTCGAGCTGACGGCGCAGGGCCGACTGCGCGGCCAGGATGGCGGGTGCGGCGGCGGGGTTGGTGGGGGGCGGGAAGTCTTGGCCGGCGTAGGGGCACCGCTGGGAGGTCGTCACTGGCGCGTACGAGTCCGCTTCTTGGGGCCAGCGCGTCGAAGCGACCGCGGAGCCGACAAGGGTGAGGAGGGGGGGAGCAGCACGCATGTTGGGTGGATGCCTGTCTCCTATTCGTTGCTCTCGTGCGAATTCTCCGACGTAGCGAACTGGGTCTTTGCTATCGCTTCGGCCTGCCGTGTCCCAGCAGCAAAGAAGAGAGATGAAGGTGGATGGAAATCTCTCTCCCCTCTCCAAGTCTCAACGCTTTTTGTACACATGGCCTTCGTTCCCCCATTCTTTGTTTTTGGAGGGATCGCTCGTCGTGCTGCCACGGTGCCACCACCACATACGCCATAACTCAGCTTCTCTAAGCCAGCTGATAGCAGCTGCCAAGCGATTATCTTGCACAGCAGGGCGGGGGTACTCGCAGCAGGGCAGGGGTACTTACAGCAGCGAGGATTGCCAGCCCTGGACCAGGGACCATTTTCAGCCTGATCAAAGCGTGTAACGGGTCGGAATCGGTCGTTGCACAGGAGAAAAACAAATATGCCACCCTCCACTGGTCGAGCGCTGAGCCTCATCGACATGGCCAGATCCTCCAGCACGCCACGATGACGCGGGCTGGGTGTAGATTGCGGGGCATGATGGAGATGATGGCGTTGGGCTGAGAGGCCGCCACCACCCGCATTGCACTCATCACTGCTGCACACACCCGTATTTATTGCCAAGCACGCCGCGTGTGCGTGTTGAGCCCAACGGGCAGCGCTTCTTTTGCCAAAACAGTGCGTGCGTACCGACGCTGCATAAACGCCACGCCCGTCTTGATCACGCCATGTGACTGGTCAGCCCGCGCAATGTGACCTGCAGTCCGGGGTGAGTCCTGCCGTTGTTTTCTGGAAAGATCTTCCATCCAATGAAAGGGCCGCGTCCGCCGTGTGGCTTCTTGGTTGCCCCATTGCGACGAATGATCTCCGTACCCACGGGCGGCGCGGCCCAGGCCGAGGCCCGCGGTTCCCCGGGAATAGTCGATCTTTTGGGGCAGAAATCGTGGCGTCGTCGCCGAGCATCTTGCCCGTTTTGGCCAAACAGCCAGGATAGAAGAAGAGCTGCCTCTGATTTCGAAAATCGAATGTAACGACAGGCGTGTCTTCCGCGCTCGTCGCCCAATCACCACTTCAGCACTCGGACGCACACATACACGACTACGTAACATTGATCTCGTCGCTATGGAGACAAATATCCCACAGCACGCCCAACAGCGCCGAATACGTCTCCCTGCTCCACGGAAACTCGGCCATGACGCCCGCCAGCCCCTCCAAGTCCCTGATGCCCAACACGGCGACCACGGCGGCGAAGTGCCGAATGAACCACCGCGCGTTCTCGACCGCGCCCTGCGCATCGCCCTTCAGCTGCGCCGCCGTCGACCACCCCATGAACAGCACCCACAGCAGGCTCTGCGCCGACGCCACCGCCGTCCACACGCCCACCACGTCGCCGTCCCCCCGGCTGTCGAGCACCCCCCGCAGCACCTGGACGAACGCGCCGTACATGGGCGCCTCCTTGCGCGTGAACGGCATCGTCCCGAAGACGCACATCTGCGCCGCCTGCAGCAGGCCCGCGTAGACGACGTCCATGGGAGCCGCCGCCGCCACCGCCGCCGCGGAGCCCAAACCGACGTCGTCGTCGTCGTCTGCACCGCCGCCGGCCGTTACTACGTCCCCCTCCTCCTCCGGCGGCATCCGCACCCGGCCCCTCATCCCCGCCAGCTCCACCAACACCACATGCTCCAGCTCATCCAGCACGCCCGTGAAGCTCGGCCGTTCCGTCCGCCACTCCCCGACCACGACGTGCAGCCTGTAAAACACGGCGCTCAGCGGCGGCGGCGCCCGATCTACCGGCAGCAGCGCCGCGGTGCGCCGGTGCGCCGCGTCCGTCGCCGCGCGCACGAACGGAGGCAGTTGCGGTGAATGCGGCGACGGCGGACGCAGCCGGGGCAGCTGCGGCGCGAGGGCGAGGCTGGCGCAGGGGTAGAACTCGCACCACTTGAGGGAGCGCTGGGCCATGGGGCCGAAGGTGGCGAAGCCGCCGCGGGCGGCGACGAGGGCGAGCATCGCGGCGCGGTGGTGGCGGGAGGCGGGGAAGTTGCCGAGCCAGGTCTGTTGGTCGTGTGTTGGCGATGGGAGGTTGGTTTTATGGGATGGATGCTGGGTAGTACGTACCTCGGCGACGGCTAGTCCTGCTATCATGGCGACGTACGACGCGGGGATGTCGAGGCCGGTTTTGCCGATGGGCATTTCTGGGTGCGGTTTTAGCGGTGCTTTTTTCCCCGTTGGGTCTGCTGGACGCACCTTCTCGCGTGACTCGCAGGACCACGGCCCAGTACTTGCTTGTCTCGTAGTTGATGTCGTTGCCCAGGTTCTTCATCACCTGCCAGATGAAGAGCATGATGAGGTACTAACGGGAGTCAGCTCTCGTTCTCTCTTTCTTTTCTCTTCCTTTCTGCCCGTCTTTTTCGCTCGTCTCCGGTTTTTGGTTGCATAGACTCAATGAAGGCGTACGGACTGAAATCTTTTGGTCCTGGCAGAAGCTGAACTGCACCTGGCTCCACTCCAGCTTCTGTCTCCTGTAGGCCTTGTCGCAGACCAAGGAGTCTGTACGGTGCGGTGCATGCCCATCATCAGCTTATCTAGCCCGGAAGTTTGAAATCGCCACCAAAGAGAGGGAGAGAGAGGAGAGAGAGTGTGTGTTAGAAATAGAGAGAGACAGAGAGAGGGAGGGAGCAAGAGAGAAAGGAAAGGAGAAACCACGCACCGTGCGTAAAGGGCGTCGGGCCCGGATAATTCTCGAAATCTGCATTCGTTTCCGAGCAGGAAACAGCACCGTCAGATTCATTCTCTTTTTGTTTCGACCAGCATTTCCCACTCTTTTCTTCTTCCCCCCAAGAAAGAACGAAAAAGGATTTCCCCCAGATACAGACCACCCCTCCCACCCACAAACAAACACAAAAACACAAACACAAAAGAAACTCACAAAACCTAATCGCCTCATGCAGCTCCGCCGACCCCTCCACGGGCAACACATCGAACGGATCGCCGCCCCTCCCCACCATCGGCGGCACCGACCCCTCCATCCCCATCCTCATCCCCATCCCCATCCCCGTCCCCAGCATCCCCCTCAGCACTCCCCCGATCCCCCCCACCCCCCAACTCGCAAAAGCCACAGCCACGTGCCTCGCCACCGCCGCCTCGGCCGCCCGCCGCTCGTCCTTTCTTTCGCGCGCGCTTTTCTCCTCCGCCCGCCGCCCCTGGCTGTGCACGAGCATGACGTGCGACTTGAGTTCGCTGGCGGGGCGGTCGTAGAGGAGGCCGGGCTGGCGGCGGTGGGTGCGGGGGCCGCGGACGGAGACGAAGAGGAGGTTGGAATTGGATTTTTGGGGTGGTTGGGGTTGGGACTGGGACTGGGATGGCTGGGGGGGTTGGTGTGGTTGGTGCGGGTCTGGCGCGGTGGGTAAGGGTGGTGGTGGTGGCGGTGCTGTTGGTGTTGGTGTTGGTGAGGAGCTGGATGATGGGGGTGGCGAGGACGGGGAGGTCGACGACGACGACGATGGCAGCAGCGGCGTCGACGACGACGGCGGCTTCGGCTTCGGCTTCGGGCCGCGCGTGTCGACGGCGTCGGCGTCGGCATGGGTGCGTCGCTGGCTGCTGCTGCTGTGTTGTTGTTGCTGCTGCTTCCTTTTGGGTGCTGGCGCCTTCGTGGGCGGCATGGCGTACCGGTAACGTATAGTGTATGTATGTAGGTGTGGAGAAACGAGAAAACAAAAAGAAAACAAAAAGGGGAAAAGCAGACGGGAAAGAAGCCTCGAAACTAGGCGCTGCGTGGTATGACGTGACGTGACGTTGCAACAAGCACGGCGCCACAAACCGCCGGAACGCGAAGCTTGAGTAGATGTTTGGCTGTGGACAGCTCTCTCTCTCTCTCCCTCGAGGAAGGAGCAGCAAAGCAAAGCGTGCGTGCGGGGCTGAAGGACGGGTAAATAAATGAGAGGCGTTTTTGATTATTTTCTTCTAGAAGCGCGCTATGCGCTGCGCTTGTCGTTGGCCTTCCCACGCGGGGCTTAAGCAAATGCCTACCTGGGCCAAATTTCCTCTCTTGCCTTTTTTTCTATTTTTAAACCCGCAATCAATCTGGTCTGACAGTCTCGTCGCTGCCTGCGCGCCAACGTGCCGGTTGATTACAAACTCGATTCGGCAACACCAGGGCTCGGCACCAGTCCATCACTTGCCTCACGTTGCCTCTTCGGCTCGTCGCCTTTCCATTCGTCAATCCCAAAGAAAAGCGCGGGAGATCGGCCAACCAAGGCCCCCCATACTGCTCCCTTCCCCTGATCCTGATCGACGGCAGTTCCCGCTAGTTTGATGGCGCCGTGCACCAACAAAAGCCGTCGATGAATGCCTTGTCGTCTGCCGAACCCGCTGGTGTCTGCCCGTCTGCGACACTTTCTAAATCGAGACTGATTTTCAACACGTTAGGCCTTCTTCCGGCATTGAAGCTTATACATTTCACATAATCTATCAAGGGTATCGTGCATCGTGAAGACAAGACAACCGTCTGCCTGCCCCTAGACTTCCCACACATCCACCGACGCCGCCAAGTGAATACATCCGCCCCTACATACACCACCAACAATCAACGTACATGCAAATCCTGCCTCCCCGACTGCATCTACGTCGCAACCCCGTCCACGTCTTCGGGTCCGTCGTCTCCCGTGACTGACGAAGGGGTATCGGGCGGAGGAGGGGCAGAGGACACGGCGGGAGATGCGGGTACCGACGGCGCCGCAGATGCAGATGCCGCCGCCACGGCCTCCATCCGCTCCCGTATCATCTTCGTCAGGGCCGCAAACTGGATCGGCTTCGTCATGTACTCGTCCGCCCCGGCGCTCAGCGCCTCGAACCGCGCGCTGGCGCTGCCGAGGCCCGTGGTGACGATGATTTGCACCCCGGCTTTCGAAACGGGGGCTGCTGGGGCGGGTGACGAGACCGACGTGGCACCCTCTTCCGATGCCGTCGTTGCTGACTCGTCTTGGTTCGTCGACGGTGTGGTTTCCTCCATGCGCTCTCCTGAGGTGGTGGACTGCTTCGCCTGTCCGGAAGCCGCTGCATCCACCTCCGCCGCCGTCAAGTCTGTGGCCCCGGATTCTCCGTCATCACCATCCTTCATCGGCTTCGTTTCCGATAGCCGCTCCGCTCCTCCGCGCTTCCCCCCGTCTCGTCCTTTCTCCGCTCTTCTCTTCTCCCACGCCCTGATCTCCCGCGTCGCTGTGACCCCATCCATCACCGGCATGCTCAAGTCCATGAGGATTGCCGCCCAGCGCAGCGGGTCGGCCTTGAACATGTTGACGGCCTCGAGGCCGTTGCTGGCTGAGCTGTGGTCGGGGAACCCGTTCTTGGATAAGAAACCCGACGCCAGCCGCACGTTGATGGCGTTGTCGTCGACGATCAGGATGTGCGTCCCTCGGCGTCGCCCTTGGGACGACACGGAGCGGGATCGACATGATGACTCTTCTCGAGTGTGCCGGCGTTGCAGCGGTGATCTCAGTGTTGGGGTTTGGCGGAGGGGACGGCATTGGTCGGGTGTGGCTGCCGCGTCGGGTGTTGCGTTGTGAAGGAGAGATGGCCGTTTGAGCGGTGTAGAGGGGCGCTGCACCGGTTCGCGGGGAGCCGGGGGAGAGGCGGCTTGGTCTTCACCAGGGCCGTCGCTCGGTCTAGGATGGTGGGGTAAGGTGGTTATCGTCCCGCCAGCTGGACTTTCTGACGACCTTTCGAGCGTCGAGCTCTGTCGGTTGAGGTAGAGTCCGAGGAGTTTGGCCAGTTTGTAGGGACCACAGCTGAATGTCGTAGAGGGTCAACAAAGATTCGGTATGCGGCCCTGCAGCCGAGGAGGGGGAAAAAAAAAACTTACGGTTGAGTGATGACTTCGATCCAGCCTCCAACGATCCTTGCGTCCGTTCGTAAAGTGGCGGCTTCGGTTGCGTCCAGTGCAATGACGACAGTCATTCCCTTGTGAGGTCGCGGCTTGGACATGTACTCCATGTTCGGCCCCGGGTAAATGACCAATTGGTCGGCCTCTGGGTCCACATCGGCGACCGTCTGCACCTTGAACCACTCGCGCACTGTTCCGGCAATCGATTTGACGAAGCTGTGCTCCCCTTGAGCGACGCAGTCCTGGACGTCTGCAGGCTTTGGGAGAAGCTCGCCCGGAATGCAGATTCTTCTGTGCTGGACACGTGCCGCAATGGTTTGAATAAAGTTCTTGCCGCTCGCAGTGCGCTTTGCCAAAGAGACAGTCACCCGCACCTCGGTCCCCACATCCTGCGTGCTCTGCACGTTGATTTTGCCGCCCAGGCTGTCGACGAGCAGCCGTGCGATGCTGAGGCCGAGACCGGTCCCTGGGGCGAAGGGGTCCTCCTGCGAGAAGGCCTTGAACAAGCTGTTCTGAAGAAACTGGGATGATATCCCAGTCCCCGAATCCTTCACCGTCAGACAGACCTCGGTCTCGTATTCGTCGACATCCGTCGCCGAGAGCGAGACGCGGATGAAGCCGACGCTGGTATACTTGAGTGCGTTTCCGAAGAGGTTCATGAGAATGCGCCGCCAGACACCCGGCTGCATTGCAAAGAGCCACGATCGGTGATCGGGCATGTCGAGGATGATGCGCACTGGTCTGCGGACAGAGTCTTCCACTGAAGGCGATGGCATGTCTTGGTGACCTGGGTGCAAAAAGGTCTCGTCGGATTCTTCGCCCTGCTGGGTGGAGCTTATGGTGTACGAGTGTCCGGAAAAGACGGCTTCGACCGTCTCCTCGGTCAGCTGGCGGAGATCGACAGTGGGTGTCGACGGCGATGAACGGAGCGCCGGCCGCTGCTTCTTCGAGGGCCTGTCCGGCCGTCGGTTCCGCTCGTTGATCTTGGAATACTCCAGCACGTTTCTGACCGTGTCGAGAAGAGTCCGCCCGCAAAGGCCGATGGAGGTGACGACGCTGGTCTGGAAGGTGTCGAGCGGCATGCTCTGGAGATATTCGACGCCACCCAGAATGCCATGGAGCGGCGAGCGCAGCTCGTGGGACATGGACTCGACGAAGGTGGTCTTGGCCTTGTCGATGGTCAAGGCGTCGAGCCGGCTCAACTCGGCCATGATGCTGTTGCCAAAGGTCCGAAGATAGAGCAGGTCGCTGCCGTAGGACAACTGGCGTCTAGGATCCGTAGTCCAGCAGAGGGCGCCAGCAAACCACCGTTCTCGCTGAAAGTCCCAGAGAGGGACAATTGCGGCGCTCCGGGCATCCTGGGCGACTTCCATGATGGCGGCCACGGCAGAGAACCTGGGGTTGCCTGTCCGCTTCCGCCTTGGGCGATGTGCCGCGTCGTCGCCGGAAGAACTCTCGGAATCGGGCGACGGCGGCAAGTGAAAGACTTTGCCTTGCGGGTTTTGATTCAAGAGACGCTTCAGATCAGACTCGGCCAGCGCGAGGTAGTCCTTTTTCGGGTGGGTCCCGGCGCGGCTCGAGATGTCCGTGTCAGCAAAGCCGAGGATCTTACACAGGGCGGGGCTGTCGGTGCCAGTCGAGTCGTCGTCGTCGTCCTTTCCGTCGCTGGATGCATCGTCCGTGTCGCTGATGGACTCGGACGAAGGCGTGCTTCCGGCCGAGACGCCCGGGTTCGCCAGAGAGGCATCGAAGATGATGACGCCCGACAGACTGCTCGAGTCTCTCATGATGTTGGCTGCGCGCGAAAACATGCGCTTGGCGCCAGAAGGGAGGATGCTGTCTTGCAGGGTGAAGAGGTCATCCGCACTCTGGGGGGACTGCATGTCGGCAGCAGTGGCGGGGGTCTGGACGAGCGGGTGGAGGCCGTTCAGAGGAGTGCCGTTGGCAACGGGCCTCTCCAGTATGGGCAGGTCAGAAGACTGGGTGGGCAGCGAGGCGGTGGTGGGGATCGGGGGGCTGCGCGGCACGTTCAGCTCGGCCTGGTCCTGCAGATCGGAGGCGCCGGTGACGAAGGAGGTCAGGCCGCGGACCATGCGCTCGCCGCGCTGGCTGTCGTCCATGGCGCGCGAGACGTTGAGGTACGACATGGCGGCGACGGCCACGTCCTGGAGGGCGCGGACATGGTGGGGCCCAAGGCCGTCGCGGGGCTCGTCGTCCCAGACGGACAGGCTGCCGACGACGTCGCCCGTCTGGGCGACCAGCGGCACGGCGGCATAGAAGCGAAAGCGCGGGGCGTGCTGGACAAAGGAGCGGGCTTGGAAGCGTCGGTCGTGTTGCAGATGGTCGATGACGATGGCGGATGGCGGGTCATGGCCGTCGAGAAGGAGCTCACACAGGCCGGCGCGGCGCGGGAACGAGCACACGCCCAGCCACAGGGCGTCGCCCGCGTCGGTATCAGAGTCGAAGGGAGGGGTGTCGCGGCACACGGGACGGGCGGGCGTGGCCTCGGCGAGCACCGTCTGCGAGTGGCTGTCGATCAGCGAGATCAGGGCGTGGCGGGCTCGCAGGTGCAGCACGGCGAGCTGGGCGATGGCGGTGAGCACGGCGTCACTGGCGGCGCGCGGGCGGTGGCCCTTGGGCGGGAGGCAGTCCGGGGCGGCGAAGAGGGCGGGACTGAGGTCGGGGACGTCGAGGCCGAGCGGATGGAAGCTGCGGGCTGAGATCAGTTGGTTACCAGCTGGCCAGACGGCAGAAGGAGCCTTACCTACGAGCAAACATGGCGGTCCCGGGCCCGCTCAGCCTGGCTCATGGCCGCGGGCGGCGGGCGCTGGGGCGCAGGCGGCAGCACGGGAGCGGGGGCCATGATGCACGCCTGCTTCGGTCAGGGCGTGGGATGGGGAGCATTGAGGGGCGGGGCGGGCGCATGGAGAAGCAAAATGGCATCTGGGTTTGCGATGGTGAGGAATTGGGCGTAGATATATGATGTCGCACGCGCGCTAGGAGCCACGGAGCTAGCGCCCAGCCACGCGCGCGGAGCGGCAACCGGTTTTTGCCCCTCAGCCGCCATCTCGATGATCATGTATCGACGATCGGGGAGGACGTGCGTCTGCACTTCAACTTCGCCGTCTCACTGACTGCGGAAAGAACTGCCGGGAACGCGCCAACGAGCGCATGCCAACCCGCCCCTCGGGCTGCGCTGTGTCGCGTGCCTGGCCACCGCTGGCCATGGAATTGCCCTCTCTGCCTGACGTGGTGACTTGTGCTCGGCAAAGTGCAAGAGCATCGGACAAGTGCAGTCACCCGCCCAAACATGGCCGAAATGCGACATCCCCCTCCTGCGCACCGAGTCGATGGTACGAGCCTCGGGACTGACTCTGCACCCTCATTCAGTTTGAAGACCAAGTGAGTTCGTGCCGTTCTTCCAATCCTTCCTATGTCTTGTGTTGCACCTTGTTGGGAAGACGGGCCTGAGGCGAGGCTAGCGTGTTGCCAGAACTCCAGCCACCAGATAGGCGTTCGGTGACGGGAACATATACACGGAAATACATCTGGTAGGAGCGCCAAGCCTGATGTGCTGCGTAGCCAGTGAAGTGACGCCGACACCAGCCGCCATTATTCCCGAACCACCCCGTTCGGACCCTTTCCTGCACCAACCTGTGCCGCCTTCGCCTCAGCCGCCTCCCCGCCGTCTGCCGACTTTGTCTCCTTCTCGAGCCCGAAATCAGTCTCCAGCTCCTTCCTCAGCTTGACCGGCCGCTCGAAAAACACAGCCACGAACGACACTCCGGCAAACACGACCCCAATCTGCCACATGCGCTTCAAGCTGTCCGCATACACCCTCACAATCTGCCTCCTCGTCTCCTCCGACGCAAACGACTCGACAAACGCCTTGGACGCATGCTCGTACGCCCCACCCTCGCCCAACGCTTCCCTCGCGCCCGCATCGCCGACCCGTCCAACCAACTCGGCGAACCGATTGTTGAACACGGCCGCCGGCACCGACACCCCCCAGATGGTGCCCACCGACCTCACAAACGCCCACGCCGCCGTGCTCGCCGCCGCATCCGCCTCGCGCAGCTCCGCCTGCACCGCCGGCAGCAGCGCCGGCATCACCGCCCCCAGCCCCGCCGCCACCACCACCTCCAGCACCACCCACGGCGCGTCTCCCCCGCCGGGCCCCAGCAGCGAGCAGCACCCCACGCCGACGCCCAGCACGAGCAAGCCCCCAAAATGCGCCGCGCGGAACCACCCCCCCGTGCGCGCCATGACCGCGCCGACGCCCGCCGCCGCGGCGGGGAAGGCGAAGACCACGGGCAGCAGCTGCGCGCCCGCCCGCCGCGGCGTCGAGCCCCGCACCGCCTGCAAGTAGACGGGTAAAAAGTACATGACCCACACGGCCAGCAGCGCGTGGTTGAAGCTGACGACGAGCGCCGCCGCCGATGTCCGGTTGCCCGCCACCCGCCCCGGCACCACCGGGTGCGGGCACAGCCGCGGGGAGCCCTCGCACAGCGCGAAGACGACGAGGAGTGCCAGCCCGCCGCAGAGGGGCCCGATGACGGCCGCGCTGCCCCATGCGTAGCGCGACCCTGCGTAGGTCAGCACGTACTGGACCAGCGTCGTCGAGGCGATGAGCAGCGCGTTGCCGACCCAGTCGATGCGGCGGAGCAGCTGGTGGCGGGCGGAGGGCACTGTCGTCGTGGCGTCGTCGCCGCCGCCGTCGCCGGGCTTGCGGACGCGCAGGAAGACGAAGAGGATGAGCAGCGCGGCGGCGCCGGTGGGCAGGTTGAGGTAGAAGATCCAGCGCCACATTCCCGGGCGCGAGGCGAGGGCGCCGCCGACGAGCGGGCCGACGGCCGACGCCACGGTCATGAGGCCGAAGAGGAGCGCCGTCTTGCTGCCGCGGTCGCGCAGCGGCACCAGGTCGCAGATGATGAGGTCGACGAGCATGTTGATGCCGCCTGCGCCGATGCCCTGGAGCCCGCGTCCGGCGAGGAGCTGGGATGTGGTTTGGGCTGTGCCGGAGATGGCACCGGCGGCGGTGAAGATGGCGACCGAGGAGATCATGAGCCATCGTCGGCCCCAGAGGTCGGCTAGTTGCCCGTATAGTGGCTGGCAGGCTGCGCTGTGCGGTGCCGTTTGTCAGTCGGGTTGCGGGGCGGCAGTGACGGGAGGCACGGTGTGTACATGCCTTGTCAAGAAGTAGATGTTCATGACCCAAACGTAGTTCTCACCGGCTCCCAGGTCGGCCAAGATTGTCGGCAAGGCGGTGGCCATGATGGAGCCTTCGAGGCCGCTGAGCAGAGCTGAGAGCGCCAGGCCCGTAAAGATGATCCAGAACCGCCACCCGTAGCGGTTGCCATTCGTGTCTTGCTTGACATCTTCTTCTGCTGCCGGAACCGCTTGATGCGCATCTCGGTCCTCGAGTTCCACCACACTGTCACAGCGGTCTGCATCGTGTGTATTTAGTTGCATGTTGACGAGGAAAAGTCTGGCCGACCGCCGCTGCACTTGCCTCTCTACCGTGGGCACCCGGGTGCTGAACTCATATTTGCTCGCGAAGAGGGCAACACTTGTGACATCCAAGTCCATTGTTTGGCCAAGGGGCTCGTGCCCGTCCGTCGGCTTACAACGCGGGGGGATCGCCAGTCATAGCGTGATATGTCATTCTCCGCTCGGCGCTTGCAACATGCAGCAGGTCGATTAGCAAAATCGTCGCCGTTTCGGGATATCCTTCCCTCTTTCTCCACGGCCAATACTGAACCGAGTTCGTCAACAGACCGACTGCGACTTCCTGTTAACCGGATTTCTAAACACAGTGACAGCCATCCATTCGCAAGAGCGTCTTTCTACTGACCCACTCTAGTTTCATAATCTTGTTACATGGTAATGGGAAAAAATAAACACGCCGGGCTTACGCTGTGCTCGAGCATGGCGAAGATTTCAGCATTTCTCGCACTTCCGATCCACAATTTGCTCAGCAGCCGATGACGAACACGAGCTGGCTGGCCCACCTCCTTCACGGAAACAATATAGCACATGACGATCCAGCCATGGAGCAGAGGTTGCTGATGGTAGTATTTTCCACCAGGCTCCCAAATCCATGTGGCATCTTCGCACACGTCATCGGCAAGAACAACACGTCGTCCCTGACTTTGTTTTGTGAAGTGTACCGTGATACGGAAATTCCAAGGCACACGTTTCACGGCCGACGGTGCAGAACGGTTGGATTTGTCGTCCAGTGACACACGGCAGGGACGGACCATCACCTTCAGTCGTTCCCACCCGCCCGTCAGCAGCCGCGCATGCCGACCTTCATCAAGCATAGCCCGCACCTTGAAATCAAATACCTAAACTGTGCGTCATCCCACCGTGTCATTGGCCTCGATGCTGACGTCGTCCTGAGAAGTCGTGTTCTGGTCAAGGGCCCCAGCTGACGGACAAAACTTCTGGACAAACACCCGGACCGTTCAAGGCCCCACCTTCGCGGCCACGGTACTACGAAAAGAAGAATGACTAGTAATTTTGCTTTCCTGAGCCACGGCGTCTCCGGTGAAGCGGCTGACCTCGGTGTGACGCGCAGTGTTGTTATCAAGGGCGTTTTCTTTGACCGTGGGGCGCTTGGGAGGTGCTGGGCAATGTCTGTTGCCGTACTTCAGAAAGGTGACTCCCCTCGGTCATATGTGACGGCTTCGAACTGGCATAAATAGAGCGAGACATTGACTCCGAACGGCGAGAGCTTCAACGAGGAGTGAACTAGTCGTATGACCTGGACGTCCACGGTTCGGAAGGACCGGTGCAGTCGATTTGTTGGGAGACCATTAGTATCAGCTCCAACTCAGAACACCTTGTCGACATACGCCACTGACCATGCCACCCAGAAAACTTCTTCCAAGCCTGGGTCAGCCTGGGAGTCCCAATCCCCACAGACCCGGGAGCGGGAAGCAAAATGAGAGTATTTTGGGCGCCCAGCTCCATTGACCCAAGGAACAGGACCCGATCCTCGGCGCGTATAGCCCATCACGACAAGATTCCTCGAGGCCCAACTACCATCTCCTAACCATGCATGCTGTCTCGAGAATCGAGTTCAGCGGAACCGTCGCCACCGGGGTTGAATGCATCTCACGCACAAGTGACGAGACTGGTTCCGTCAAAGCGCGCAAAGAAGTCATCCTCGCCGCCGGTCCAATCCACACGCCACAGACCTGCAACCATCCGGAATAGGGCCCCTAGACCTGCTGAATAGCCTAGACATTGACGTCCTCGTCGACCTTCCCGTCGGCTACAACCTGCAGGATCACCCTACGCTGTACTTTATCTGGAACTGTTCGCGAACCCAAGAACCCCTCGAATTCGGACAAGCTAACAGCACCACCACAGACGCAAACGACGCCCCTCCGTTGGTGCCGGCGACGCATACAAGTTCGACGGTTGATGCGGTGGCGGAGAAGGCGAGTTTGTCGAGTGTGACTAGGATGTGCTCTTTGCTGACTTTCTGCAGGCTGCGGATTCGATCAAGGAGACTTGTAGGTATTGATGATCATGGCCCCGATCACGGTGCTTGGATGGCATGTTGGCCGGGTATGATGTCTGCGGCCTACCATTAAAGACAATTGTGAAGACGACAGTCACGACAAAGACACGGCTATATTTCTTATAGGAGCAGTACATGGCCTAGAGCAGACTTCCACAGGCTGATTTACTTGCTTGCATGACACAAGCCATGTTAATGCTATAGGCTCGGCGGGATACTGACCAATGGTTTTTTAGCTTCTTTTTAAGCTTGTTGGTGGCGCAAAGCTAAATTCCCACAGACCGGGCATACGGAGTGCTTCCCGTTTTGCCATGATGTTCGCCTCATCTCTCGTCTATTTGCACTCCATAGCTTACCTCACACACAGCCCGTTCCGCTTCGAAAGAGTTTCAGCCAATCTGCAGGAGATAAGCCACACAGCACTAACTCGTCTCAGCTCTCCTCCGTTAATATCGCGGTGTAACCCGAGTCATGGACGAAGGATTTCCGCCCCCAAGGCGCACGGTCGACATAGCCCCAGCCTTGCCCGCATTTAGAGCGCTGTAAATCCCCACGTCCTGTTCCCCGAGTTTCCCTCTCTCTCTCTCTCTCTCTCTCTCTCTCTCTGTCTCTCTCTGTCTCTCTCTCTCTCTTCCTCTCAGTCTCTCCTGGGGAGGAACCACCATGTCGGTGAACGCGAGCTTCTTCCTGAGCTCCACCGAGGACAAATGCGTCTACAACGGCGCCTCGATAGACGCCAGCGACCTAACGACGAACGGCAACCTCTGCGCCTACATCCCAGGCGTCAACCGCGTCTGGGCATGTTCAGCACCCGACAGGTATGTAGTCCACCAACCCACCGGACCACGTCCAGGACTAACCACGATCAACCACCAGAGTCTGCTGGAGCTACGACCAGACCTGCAAAGGCGGCTCGACCACGACGCCGGACGACACGCAGATCTACTGCGGCTCCAACGGCGCCGAGTGGTGCTGCAGCGACCAGGAAGAATGCACGCGCACCCCCGGCCAGATCAACGTCTGCTGGGGCCTCTGGCGCAACCCCACCTACAACATGACCGACGCCGAGGCCCTGCTGTACAACCAGGAGCACTACTCCGTCCTGGCCTCCACCACCACCGCCGCCTCCGCCTCCGCCTCCGCCGCCGCCTCGACTGCCGCCACGACGTCGGCACCCGCGACGAATGCGGCGTCGGCGTCGGCGTCGGCGTCGGCGTCCAGCGCCGCATCCGCAGCTGCAGCCGCATCATCGTCGTCATCGTCGGCGTCATCGCTGTCATCCGGGGCGGTAGCGGGGATAGCCGTGGGCTGCGTCGTCGGCGGCGTCGCGCTGGCCGGCATCGCGGGGCTGATTTTCTGGCGCAGGAGGAGGCGGGGGGGCAGCAGCGATGGCGGCGCGACGAGTACGCCAGATGCCGCGACGGAGCAAAAGTATCGGGAAGGTGACGGCGAGGCGTTGTCGCATGAGTTGCATTCGGAGGCTCAGGTGTACGAGGCGGAGGGGAGTGCGGTGTATGCGCGGGATGGGGGTCAGGCGAAGGTGGGTGGGGCGGGGACGCATGAGTTGCCGGGGCAGAGGTATGCGTGATGGGGGGGGGGGGGGGGGGGGGG